TTACATGTGGATCGTTAACAGTTTTAATTGCACAGTATGTTTTCCATCAGCACGATATCGAGTTTTAAATTAAAAAGAAAAATTATATCCAGCACACGGTCGAAGCACCACAGTACCAGCCTGAAAAATAAATAGCATAAAACAGCTAAAACAAATAGTAAATTATACTTTATCAAATGTTGAGAGTCTTGCAATTTAACTTTTTACGTAGCCGTTAACTTTGTTTCTCCGCTTGCTGTATTAAATTTTCGAAACAGCCTGTTTTTACGACAAAGTTCTTAAATATTTTTTTATTCCGATTGTAATAGAATTATAGCCGTATTATTAATTTAAAACAAATTCTGCTTGCAATTTTGTCACAATATCAATATCTGCGTATAATTTAATTGCATTGGTAATAATGAGATTTATGTTTCTGCACAATATTATAATTTGGTGTAAATCATAAATTAAAATATAAACAAAATTATCGAATTGTAACGCACACATACATTAATAATCATTAAAAGGATCATAAGTATTTAATTTCAAATAATTTAACGTACTTGCTTTACTCATTAATATTATAATAATAGCATAATGGTCTATCATTGGATTATATTTATATATTTTTTTCTTTTCAAATTTTAAGGCGCTACCTGTAAGTATGTTTTTTTCTATACCCATACATTTTTTTTTCAGAAATTATTAATATGTCATTAAAAACTTTATTTCTGTGTTTACAGACTAAAGTACTAAAAAAGTTTTCACTGATTTCATCAATTTCTACTAGCTTACATCTGCAGTTATTTACTCACAAAGTCCTACTTACAATATGTACTCGTATATATAGTTGGAGGGCTGGAGGGTGACATAGGCTATTCTTTACCGCGGCAGATGATCTCATTCCCACGGGAAAACACGTTATAATAAAACCCAAAAACGATTTATGATTAGAATTATTTTAAACTTGGTATAAATGCTCTTCATTACAAATAAATAAATACGTATTTTAGCATTTTTCGAAATTCATCTAATCTACTTTTTTGGAGTTTTCCTGTAGTTGTAGCGCGAACGAAGCCGCGGGTTCTGCTAGTATATATATATAATAGGTATATTTCTAAATGGAAACTAGTATATTAACAAACGGACGGACGTCAAAGTACCTAATCCTATATAGGTTTCAATCCGCATTTCCGCATTTGAAATAACATAAACTTTGAAATGAAATAAACTTTATTCAATTAGACTTATTATAAGTACTTTTGAATTGTATATATAATTTCAAGAGCATAGTATTCCTTTTACGGTAAAAAAAACCATTAAATATATTTTTGATTGAAATTTTTGATTGAAAAATTCCAAACGGTAATTTTAATTTGATCCTACTGACGACATACCCTCGCTTCGCACGGGTGCTTCCCTGGATGATTTTTGTATTTATAACATTATAGGCAGTGGTAGCTCAGTGGTAATGTGCTTGCTTAGGAAACCGAGTGAAGATGGTTCAAATCTCAGGTCTTGCACCTGTGATATTTTCATATGCGATTCCTTTCAAACATGATTACCACATATTTTACGGTGAAGGGAAATATCGTGAAGAAACTTGCGTATCTGAGTGAACCTAGAAAGTTTCCGAAAAACATCTGAAGTCTGCCAACCCGCACTTGGCCAGCGTGGTGGACAATTCCCTGATCCCCCTCGTATTGAAGGGAGGTCTGTGCCCAGCAGTGGGACGTTAAAAAGGGCTGAATACAAATTACATGCAATGCTACCTTTTATATTATAAACCGTAAAGCCTATGTGCAAATACATCCAGCCATTTCAACGAGAATGAGTAACAAACACATATACAAACTTTAACATTTTTTCATTAACTAAATATTACTTAAGAATGGGACTATACGTACAAGATGGAAGCATCCTATTTGCAATGAAAAGCTCAATAAGATTTCAAGATACTGAGACGAAATTGCTGAACATTATCTTCTGTTGTAAAATACTTTGAAGAACTCAATTGAGTTTTCCTTTATATTATTGACTCATGGTTTGTGTAATTGTATAATCTTTTTATCAAAATTAGTTTACTCTTTAACATTTGCTGTTTAAAAATGTGGTATTCGCATTGTCTACAGTCATGGAGGTTCCGGGTTCATTGCCTACTTGAGGCGATTGCTTACACTCATTATTTAGACATTTAATTCAGTTTGGCATCGGTAAAAAGTACAAAACCGAATAACGATTCTTTGAATTCTAACAAATATAGGCACCTTTCTAAGATCAAGACCATCAACTTTACTTCGGTATATTGTTATACTTAAACTATAATCGTAAAATATATAATACTAGCAGAACTCACGGCTTCGCTCGCGCTAAAACTACAAAAAAAATCTCTAAAAAGGTAGGTTTCATACAAACTTTCATCCCCTATTTTACCCGCATATGGAATGAATTTCGGAAAATGCTAACACACGTATTTATTTAATTTTATGGAATAGCATTAATACCAAGTTTCAAATAATTCTGATAACAAATATTTGTTTGGTAGTGTTATAACTTGTTTTCCCGTGTGAATAAGATAATCTGCCGCGATAAAAAGTAGCCTATGTCACTCTCCAGCCCTTCAACTACCTCCACACAAATCACGCCAATCCGTCAGTCCGTTTATACATACGTGAAAGTAGACAAACAAACAAACAAACAAACAAACAAACACACTTTCACATCTACAATATTAAGTAGTATGGATATATTTTATTGCTTACAAAGTATTTTATGGCTGACCGACAAACTTTCCCCTGTCCAGATCTTAATTACTATTCTGTATGTAAACTTATAGTCTGTACAATAATCCTATATCAAAAGGCACATTTATTTTTCCAGAATTTCCTAATTTTCCGGCCAACTTATTAATTTTTTTCGCTTTAAAATCTAATTCGAGCTAAAAATAGAAAGATAAAAATTTAAATATTTATTGTTTTACAACATGAATGAGACATATATCAAAATAAGATGTAATTTAAATCAAAAGCACTGAGGAGTATTGATATCAACTTCGGAGCAAATTACCCCCAAAATAACTTTCTACATTTTAACCCCGTTAGGGGACGAATTTCAATAAGATACGAAGCACGTCTTCCATCAATTCCGTTAAAGAATGTTTATGCAAAATTTGAAGAAGATTGGACCAAGGAATCACGTTGTCCCATACAAACTTTGCCCCCTTTTTTCACCCCATAAGGGGTAAAATTTCGAAAAATCCTTTGTATAAGGAATACGTCCTCCAAATTTCACGTGTCTACGGCCAGCGGCTTAAGCTTTTTTATGGGGTTCAGTGACAAACGAACAGACAGACCACCTGATGGAAAGCAGTACCTGTCGCCCATAACACCTACGGTTCATGCACTTAGCTTTTATGTAACAAAAATACAGAACCGCAGGTGCGTTGTCACTGTGAGTACTAAGAAATCATTGTTTGGCGGCAGAAATAGGCTGTATATATATATTGATTTTCATTATCACAAACGTTAAGTACATACAAGTATGCCAATGATTAGCATGAGGGTTCCCTGATACTAGACGATGGTGCAAATTAATGCAAACGGCCGGATCAAAGTTTCAACTCTATATCCCATTATACGGCACGTGGCTTGATTAAATAATAATAAGTGATTTCATAATAACTGTAATAAGTGAAACCAAGCAAATTATTCTTAAACACCTATTAGCTTAGCAGTAAGTACTTACTCGTACTCGTGTATGCCATATTGTCGTGCAGGTTAATTGCAAATCATGCTAACTAATTATAAATCATGCAGTAGAACTTTCAAATGTGCTGTGAAAAAGTACATTAATTAATGTTAGGATGCCATTTTTAAATTACACCTACTTTTTTAGACAAGTAGTTCTATCATCGATATCGCTATTATATATGATAATTGACCACATGAAATAATGCTTTTAAATATGTCGTTTTCTCTTAGTAGTAACTATTGCACTCGTAGAATGTCATCTCGTTTAAGCCAGGCAGTGAATGTTTTAGTGGTCTTTACACAAATTGTAGATCATAACGTCTGTCTGTTAATGTTGGTACTTACAACACGATAAACACTACATAAATATCTAGATTTAGCAGATTAATTCTAGATATTTAAATAAATAATAAAATATCACTATATAAAAACGAACTGAAAATGAAAATATACTCGTAGATAGTGAAAAACCTAATCAAATGAAATCATTCCTAAATAATTTAGTTTAATTAAAACAGCTCTACTTTTTATGAGAAAAGGCTTAAAGAGAAAATGTACAGGGTTGGTGGAAGTATGAAATATTTACGACGTTTATTAATGAGGAGGGTTTTATGCCGCGAAACAATATAAAATGTTGATTATGTAAGTTATTTACATAATATGCAAATATTAACAAAGCTGGGTTTCGCAAGAACTTACCATTTAACTATAATGTCCGTTGTATTTTCCGAGAGAAACAGCATCTTATTTATACTTTATTTATCAGAATATTATTATTTGCTTATTATATTTTTGGTATTACTTATTGTCGAATTACGGTGAATTACAGCTCCTCTTCAAACTTGTACTTTAATATGCCTTAGGGGTAATGTCTGTGGTTGATTCATGATGGCAACTTTTATTTTTAGGATTTAACTATGAAATATATTTTTATTTATGCCACTTTAATGTAACATATAAATATCTCGTGTCACGGTGTTTGTGGTCGCACTTCTCCGAAACGGCTCAACCGATTTTAATGATTTTTTTATAGGCCTCACCCTATCTCCCCCAGCAATTTTAATTTTTTTTATTAGTATTTTTGTATAAACAATATAATATAAATACATAGCGATGAACCCGAGCAAAGCGAGGCTGAATCGCTGTATAATATAAACCCAATAAGTTTTTTTGTGGAATAAACGCGGGCGTAACCGCGAGTTCTGCTATTAATTCATAAAATGTCACGAAACTTTTGTATACAAGTAATACAGTGAAAATATGATGTGAATGACCAGGTTGGCGTTGTTTACAACCTTCGAGCTTCACTACGAGCTTATGACGGGGCCTCGAGTTCACTTCACAAATATGGTACTTGAAGGGTAATAGCCTCTCGCACGCCATCACTCGTATTATGTGTAAGCTACGGAGTACATTTATGAGTCCGGTCAACAACTTAATAAAAATATCGACATATACTTCTCAATGTTTATTTAATTGTTTATTTCATAAATATTGATTAATGCTTTAGATTTGTTTAGTCACAAGCTTATAACTTTGTATGACGAATAATGTCAAGATATCACATGTTGATTGATTCACTACATAGTATAGGTAAAACAAAGTCACTTCCCACTGTCTGTCTGTCCCTAAGTTTGCTTGGATCTTTAAAACTACGCAACGGATATTGGTCCGGTTTTTTTAATTGATAGAGTGATTCAAGAGGAAGGTTTTAGTATATAATTCGTTAAGTTTTTGTATACATTGGCCAAAATATAGCGATATTTGTTGGATGTGTCGGAAAAAAATTAACCGTCTGGGAGCTTTCAACGAAAACGCTGCCTAAACCCTTTGAGATATAACAAAATAATGTATGGTGGATTGTGTATCTTATATAGGTCTACAGAAAAGTCCGCGATGGCATATGTCTATCTGTTAAAGATAACATACTATATCCATTTTAATTTATAACGCACCTAGGGACGAACCCGAGCGAAGTTAGGGTGAGTCGCTAGTATAAATTAAACTATTTTAATATGTTTGATTATGTGACGTAATCGAACCCGCGATCTTTGCAGTACTAGACAATATTTATCCGTCAGGCAGACCACACAACGCTACACGTAAACATAAATTAAATTATATGATAACTTATATCTCTTAGACTAAATTGTAGAGATACAATTAAGTGAATATATCCTCATTTGTATGTACGATGTTTATTATGGTATGTGCTACGCGTCAGGGAACAGGCCTCGAGGGAGGTTGGATTGCCACCACCCTTGTTACATTTAATATGAGTGCGTTCATTTACCACGAACATGGGAGAAACTAATAGAGTACTGAATGGTATTCCAATCACTTTTAAAAAATATTAAAGTAAAATTTTAGTAAAAATACACCTCGTTTTTTTTTCTTCCATGAAATACATATTTAACTATATTAATATTTAACTAATTTAAGTTAAAATTGTTATCTGAAATATAACCTAAATTCTATTTATGCTGAATTTTGGCTGGTGGTTGAGTACGTAAACGATCTTGCGACGCACCATTAAGACAGTGGAAGTTCCGTTGGGGTTTAATGTGTAGTACTGGCTTTGCCAGTATTCCCACATAACCACCTGTATGTATGCAGGTGGTATGCCTAAATGCATTTCCCAACGTTAAAAATAAATAGCCCAAACAAAAAATATGTAACATTGCATATATGTTGTCATTACACTATGTAAACAAGTGTGACCTATTTACCAAACCATTATTTAACAAATAACAATGTTCAAACGTGAATATAGCAAGTGTTACGTGCAAGTCGCAATTTGCACGTCATGCGAGCCCTCACGCCGGCGAGCGGCGAACGCGAGCAGTTGGGTCGCCATTACGTGCGCGCCCGCGCTACGCCTCCAGTACAAACTTCCTTTAATTAACTCGACGCCACTCGCGTCCTCCGCCGTAATTAAGGCGCCGTGCACTAGCCTCGTTGACAGATGGAAAAGTAGTTACCAGACTAGTTTAGCTCTCAAAGGACTGAATATAATCGAGTTTTCACTTAATTTCAGCACTTGTACTCACCGAGAAACTTCCTGCAATACTAATAATGAACGCAGATTACGTTTACTCGTAAGACTCTGATATTGATCAATTTTAAATGATTAAAAGTAATATTGTTATGATTATAATTTTAGTAGGTACGTTTTCTGTAGCCGTAGGATATAACGTAATGATTTAGAATTCAAAGCGCGAGTAGATATGTAGGCGGCGGGAGAGTCCCGAATATTTGCAATTAGATTACTTAGACGTACACATATCGAGATAATAATATAACAGAAATACGTTTTTGCATAAAATATAATATAGGCGTAGTGAAAATAAATAAGTAATGTTTCTTACATTACTAAATTATTAGCTATTCTTAAATATTTCGTACTATCGACTTATTCTCGCATTGCTCAGGTGCGTCTCTATATTGGCAGATTTTGTTCACAATTTGAAGGGTTTTATTTTTTTGCGCAGAACCCTAATTCTTCTCCCAAAATAAAAGTAACCTAAGGCTTATCAGCTATTGCCTGATGTTATATCAGCTATCTGCCAGTGAAAGTCTCGTCAAAATCGGTCCAGCCGTTTTTGAGATTAGCCGGAACAAACAGACACACAGACAGAAATTTTAATATATATATTTTTTATAACTACTGTATAGTAAGTACACTTTCTTATGTATTTAGTAAAAAACTGTAATTTGCTATACAAACAGAAGCATCAATTTTGTTTGAATAGATATATTATCTATACATCTAACTAAATTGTAACTAAGCCGAATCTATACATTAAATATTTTTTGGAAAATCTTACTGAAATAGACATTATTATCGATACAGAGACCGAATCTATAGTTTTTAGAATTTTTGTCTGTCTGTCTGCCTGTCTGTCTGTCTGTCTGTTACTGCATCACGGAAAAACCACTGGAGGGATTTTAATGAAGTTCGGTATGATGGTAGCTGGTTATCCGAGTCAACATATACGATACTTTTTACCGCGGGAAAATATCTCATTTCTGAGAAAAAATACAAAAACCCAAAAACTGCATTATAATAAAGAGTATACTACGAGTAATATGTAAAACTTCAGAATTTGGTTTTTGGTCATCTGAAAGCGGGCGGAGCCGCGGTCAATGCTAGTATTTAATAAGAAATCTACAATATTTTGAGAAAATTGTATGTAGAATCTTCTTTAAATTATATGCGATACCTATTTATTGCTATTTTAACCGTTTCCCTGTCCCATACCTATTCTTTCATATTATATTAATTGGCTGTAGAGTGCAACAATAATTTTTAAATCGTACTAATCACAGAAGAGAGACATTTTTTTTCTTCTGTGAGACCAATAGATGCGCATGTTTAAAAAACTAAAAATAAACTATTTATTTCGCGTTAAAATATTACTTTACATTATTGTATTTGTACAAATACATAAAAGAAACAACGAAATAAAAATAATCCGTTATAAAGTCACAAAAAAACTAGTAGATTTAATTCATAATCCCGATTGAACTATCGACTCCTTCGTTAGACCGCTGAATAAGCATAATAGTTTTTTTTTTTCAGTTGAAAAATAGTTTTTTTTTTTTCAATTTTCGGCTTACTAACGTTTCTATCGAAAAATGTGTTCTACAAAAGTTGTAGGTCTAGTAAAAATCTACAACTGTTATAAATAACACTTTTTACAATAACCTGTCGGTACCAGCTGATACAAAGCAAAGCACACCGACTTCGAAAATATTTATTTTTTACCTTTTAGTGCTTTTTTTGAAGTCGGTTTTTATTTTTTTGTTAAAAAGTTTTTATTTTCGAATTTATCGATATTTTACTAGTCTGATAAATTTTGGAGTTAATTTTATTGATTTCTCTGAATAATTTGATTTTATAGTAATTACAGAAAGAAATGAAATTCATTCATAGTCTAATCCTGTTTATTCATTAGTTAAAAATATATTTAAAAAAAATAATTGATATTTATAAAATTTTGTCATAGTTTTGTTAAAAAATCATTAAAAAATGTAAAAATTGAACAAAAAAAATGTTTACTTAACACTTTAAGTCGATTTTTTCCTGAGATATTCGACTTTCAATAAAAAAAGGATCCTTCTCTTTTTTATCATCAATATTTTAGTATTTAATGGATGCACAATAGACTAAAGGGTTATTTTATAAATTTAAGTTATATTTCTAAAAAGTACTGTCATAGTTTTTAAAAAAAAATGTTTTAAAACTATAAAAAAGATGACGAACATTAGAAAAAATTTAATTATAAGTATTTCCTGAATATTTTAATTAAATATGATTACACATTTTTTGTGACTAATTATATGGCTGTTTTACTATTCAATGTGAACAATTTTTCAGGATTCTTGGCTACTTGCCTACTTGCTGGCTAGATAAATGTTCAACACTCCTTGTGCTTCGAAATACAGATTCTTGGCTGACTACTTGCTGGCTGGATAAGTGCTCAACACTCCTCGGGCTTCGGAATATAGTTTCTTGACTGTCTAGTTGCTCAATACTCCTTGGGCTTCGAAATACAGATTCTTGGCTGGCTACTTGCTGGCTGGATAAGTGCTCAACACTCCTCGGGCTTCGGAATATAGTTTCTTGACTGTCTAGTTGCTCAACACTCCTTGGGCTTCGAAATACAGATTCTTGGCTGGCTACTTGCTGGCTGGATAAGTGCTCAACACTCCTCGGGCTTGGAATATAGTTTCTTGACTGTCTAGTTGCTCAACACTCCTTGGGCTTCGAAATACAGATTCTTGGCTGGCTACTTGCTGGCTAGATAAGTGCTCAACACTCCTCGGGCTTTGGAATATAGTTTCTTGACTATCTAGTTGCTCAACACTCCTTGGGCTTCGAAATACAGATTCTTGGCTGGCTACTTGCTGGCTGGATAAGTGCTCAACACTCCTCGGGCTTCGGAATATAGTTTCTTGACTGTCTAGTTGCTCAACACTCCTTGGGCTTCGAAATACAGATTCTTGGCTGGCTACTTGCTGGCTAGATAAGTGCTCAACACTCCTCGGGCTTCGGAATATAGTTTCTTGACTGTCTAGTTGCTCAACACTCCTTGGGCTTCGAAATACAGATTCTTGGCTGGCTACTTGCTGGCTGGATAAGCTGTACTTGTGATATGCTGATTCCTCTGTGTCTCTCCTATGACGAGTTCTGACACCAATAGTTTGCCAAGGCTTAATTCTTGCATTAGGATTCCAGTTAGGAATTATGATATCACGGTGACTGGGCTTTTGTAATCCAGGAAAATTAACATCTCGTCGAAATCGAGAATTGTAAAGTTCCTTTTCCAAAGGAATTCTTCCTGTAGCAGGTCCTTCCAATTTTTTTTCACATGAAGATATAGAAGCAAAAAGCATCAGAGACAGCGAGAGTGTATACACAATCATTTTCCTCAGATTTAATAACTATAATAAACTTTCGATTAACATGCAAATCTTATATACTTTTCAGTAAGGAAGGTTAACGCTATATGCGTTAACCTATAGATAAATGTGATACGAGTGAACGGGTATTTACCTAAAGTAAATTCCCTATAAACTTGTTTACACAGTAAAGTTTAGGTCTCATTCATTTTTGATAACCTATTAGAAAAGATTATTTTTGTATGTACGAGTAGTATCATGTTAATTAGCTTATAGAACATTTGCTGTATTAATTAAATTAAGTATATTTATTTAGAGTAATAATAATTATTACCAGGCTTAGCTTAATACAGGTTAGATGGTTGGCAATTCGAAAGCTGACTTTTTTAACGGACTACTTAAAAAAGAACGTGTGTGTCTTTTTATAAATGTTCACGAGTTGTCAGATATTACTGAACCCGTTTTTCTAGTTTAAATTGTATTCTATTAAGGTAGATCCCGAAGTGGTCCCATATAATTTTCTTCAAGCCTGACCACTAATATTGATGCCTGACGACACGTTTGACTCAGTTTGTAGTGACCCTACTTGCTATGCCAGCGGTCGCGGGTTCGAGTCCCGCTGGGGGGCATCCATTTGTGTGATGAGCACGAATGTTTGCACTCCAGTCATGGGTGTTTATATTTATAATATGTATGTATATAAAGTTATATATGTGTAGTGTATCAACTATCTTGGTATCCATAACACAGGCCTCGTAGCTTACCATGGAACTAGATGGTGATGTGTGTTAATGTCCCAACATATTTATATTATATATTTATATTGATACTAATGTTCTAAGGGAACTGTCATGTATTGGTAAAGATTACCCCCTCCCCTATCCTGCCACTCCACAATTGAAATTATTGTAAGGCATAATTTGGTAAAAAACACAGGTTTTTATTTAAAAATTGTACTTTATTCATCGAATTTCTTCAATATAGAAATTTTAATTATATAAACAAATCTAGTAAGTCATTTTTACCTACTTCTATTGTCATATTGACTTGAAACTTTGTATATGTACTTCCAATTTGGGTTTTATGAGCCTGTATTTACACGACTGTGGTGAAGCCCAAAAATGGGTTATGCGTTCGAGATGTATGTACATATACGTACTATGTATGTCCCATCCTATGTTTTGTTATCAAACGTTAATAACGTGAGAGTTATGATTTATATTAATGTCATTAAAAATCAAAATGGTGGATCCTAGGAGCCAATTTGTATCTTGAAAAAAATGTACGTCCTAATCAATCGAGCGGGGTATCACAATACAGGTTTTTAAGAGGCGATTAGAAAAATGTAAATAACTTATATTTATGTTAAAAAATAATTTAGTTTAAAAAATTGTTTAATAAAACTAAAAATGTCTAACTGACCAAAACTAAAAAGCTATAAATAAAAAAATAATTTAAAAAAGTAAAAAACGCGGCTGCGTAAAAAACGAACTAAAAATATGATGTCAAGTTAACGAAAAAACAGTGTTCTGTATATTATAGTATAATAAAAATCAAACTGAGTCGAATCTGTACATTCAATTTTTTTTTTTTAAATCTTATTGTTATAGTCATTATTATAGATACACAGTAGAATTTTTGTTGAATATTTTTAGAATTTTTGTCCTTCTTTCTATCTGGGAACGCATCACGAGTAAGCCACTCGACGAATTTTGATGAAATTCGGTATGATGATAGCTGTTGTCCGGGTCAACATTTAGGTACAAACCGTTAAAACCTACCTAGCGACAAACCCGAGCGGAGCGACGGTGAGTTACTAGTCTTTACATACATATAATAAAATTGTAACTGAGCCGAATCTTATTGAGATAGTCATTATTATCCATACAGAGGCAATGAGACTGAGAGGCATTGCAACTGAGCCAAACGTGTCGTACGTTTGGCTCAGTTTCAGTTCAGTTTCGTATGATTTTATTATATCCAAATTATTATCACACTATATAAAATATTAACTAGTGTGAACTAACAGGCAGTTTACATGTGTATATTTTTATTTTGGCCATCTCCATTCATGTATCTTAAATTGATGATAACTTAAATTGTCTTGGTAAAAATATAAAATGGTTTTCTATTCCACATTCGCTACTATGTTTTAGGAACTACGTCCTGAATATGTACAGATTTATTTTCCTTGTTGCGGCTATAGGATATCAGTGCGGGCATGCTTGGTCTATTCAGAATGCTGCATTTTGAACCACTGAACCCTGTATCTATAATTTACTGCAGGATTTGCTTAGAGGTACACTCTATCATTTCGATGAATACTGCGTCCGTGCGAGTGTTGGGGTTATATAGGGGGTTCAGTAAAAAACACATATAGTCTCAGTAATGAATTTGCCAACCTTTTATGAAACCCTAGCTAAAAAGGAGAGTTTAATAATTATACCCGCTTGCTCAAGCCCTTTTATTCTCATTAGTTCTATTTTTAGCTCATGTAATGTCCATTATAAGGTTATCTCACGGATAGAATGTAGCCTATGTATCTCTCAGCATTAAGACGTCATGGACGACTTTAACTAAGTATATATAATACCTAGTGCTTTAGCCATACCTAGTGCCTGTTTAGATTAAAAACCTAATATACAGATTAAACCAAAAATATAAAAAATAATTTGATTAGTTTTAATCCTATCTATTGTATGTACTTTTTGTTTCCGATAAAAATAGAAATAATTCATTTTTTTACTTATTTTTAATTCAATTAATTTTCTTGTTAATGGCTTCAAAGCGCGCTACTTGAGCACAAACGTAAAGTAACTAAAAAAAAACCGACTTCAAACAAAAGCACTAAAAAGTAAAAAATAACTGATTGGTAGTTTTCATTTACTATACATACCTAATCAAATATTTTCGAAGTCGGTGTGCTTTGCTTTGTATGGGCTGGCACCGATTTCGAAAATATTTGATTAGGTATGTATTTAATAGGTAGGCTTTAATTACTTAGTCAAAGCACACCGACTTCGAAAATATTTGATTAGGTATGTATAATAAATGAAAACTACCAATCAGTTATTTTTTACTTTTTAGTGCTTTTGTTTGAAGTCGGTTTTTATTTTTTGTTAAAAAGTTTTTATTTTTCCCTTTTTAGTGTAGACAGTAGTAGCATAGTAAGGATTCTAAAGTGTTAGGCTTGTCAAATCAAACAAAATAAGCCCAAACTCAAAGTATCTACTATTAGCCGTTGAAGAGTTCCATCTATCCACCTTCTGGCCTTGCCATCAGATCAGATCAACAACACCGAACCACTGTACTATCAACGGAAATAGAAATACTTGCAAAGTTTCAAGTCAATATGACAATTAGAAGTAGGTTAAATTCATCATTAGTTGTTTTTCCACCCTCAGGGGTGGTATTTTTTTTTTGAAATTTAAATGGGACCAATCTGGAAGTATACCCTTTCAAACAAAACAAAAATTGTCCAAATCGGTTAATAAATGACGGAGTTCTGAGGTAACAAACATAAAAAAAAAACATACAGTCGAATTGAGAACCTCCTCCTTTTTGAAGTCGGTTGATAATAATAATAAATTATTTTATTTCTTTGATAAATTGTTTAAAAGTCGCTGCGTTGAAAAACAGTAGGTTTTAAAATTGATTTCTAAATGATTTATTTGCACTATAAATTATATTATTTTAATAAAAAAATATTTCATTTTTAGAATGTCATACATGTAATGTGCTAAAAAGATAACAATGATCATAGATAGAATATATATATCATAAAAGAGTAAGCTAAAAATATAGGTTTTCTTTCATGCTTGCAAATATAATTCCAACTAGCATGACCAAAAACCAAATAGGGTCTTGGACTGTTTTATGAAAAGCATCTCAGCCTATTGCTTACATAAATATAATGCTGCTAAAAATATTTTCTATGCCCACAGATTATATATTATTATATAACCTGTGGGCTCTATCGATTAATTATTAATTCTTTTCTTTATTAACCTTTTCAGGAAACAAGAATATCGAAAATGAGTGCAATTAAGTATTATCAGTATTGTTGAGTTACCTTATGTGAAAATAATACCAATAAGAACTAAACCTGAGAAATTGTTTATTCCTGTGTCTCATGTTCAGTTAACTAATGAATTATAATAAATTAAGTTATCATTACTTATTTCGAAATGTTACCTTTATCTGTTTAAATAAAAAGATAGTTAATTAATAAAAAATAAATGTGTGATGTTAATAAATTTATTTTAATTTTAAAGTAAAATCACATTAAATAAAAATTATATTATATGGTAAATTTTTAATTTATAAAACTGTTTGAATGTTATAAAACATAAATATTTAGCACAATCTAAAGGTTCACACAAAAATTACAGATCAAATCAATTAATGATTAGCATAAATGGGAAAAGTTCGTCGTGGAGGTGCTGGTCGTGGGAATGGATTATTTGGACCCGTTGGCCGAGGTAAGGATGGTCGAGGCAGAAAACTTGATCTTGATGAGCCAATGTTGCGAGCATATCTTCTGTTTGGATCCAACCTAACATCATCAATGTAAGTAGGAAGAACGGGATGATCGGCACTTGATGGTGCTTTGGGTATATCGCCCTGATTTAGCCACAATGGTTCTTGATTACCCGTATCTCGCGCGTTTCTTCGATTATATCCTGGATGTGTCGCACCTGTATCATGATTGCCGCGAGAAGAGGAGTGACTTCCCCCAGATCTTCTAGCACTTGGAGAGTCAACGCTACGAACATATCTCCTGTTAGGATCCAGCTTAACGTCATCAATGTAAGTAGGAAGAACGGGATGATCGGCACTTGATGGTGCTTTGGGTATTTCACCTTGATTAAGCCACAATGGTTCTTGATCACCTGTGTCTCGAACTGTACGAATGATTATTGGTTTTCTTGGAGGAGGCCTATACGTCGGATGAATAATGCGTTGACCAAAAGTATCAACGGCTAACGCCGCCAGGACTAAGACCGGTAGTATTTTAAACATATTTAGTTTTCTTCCCCGAATGTCTTCAAAGAATGATGCCCACAAAGAATACGACCCACATTTTATACTTGATCTTAAGGAAAACAAACTAGTTAGTCGTAAACGAGGGACTTTACTTTAACACTTTAATAAATAAAATTGTAATCAGCTACAGGAAAGTTACTGAATTTATTATCTATATTGAAACATGAGTAATGATTATATATAATTTAATGCAAAGATTTTAATAATTATCATAATAATATAATAAAACTAGCACACGTCTATGGAAAAAATAAATAATTAAACATGAATTTTAAAACTTTTCATTAGTGATAACATTTTTCATTAGTTTATTAATTTCTATCTCATATACTCGTATATTAGTAATATGAGGAAAATGGGTATTTTATACATAAAGCTAATTTTTTTCGCTCAAGATATAATCCCTTAAAAAAATTTGAATTAAGATGCCGAGCTAATACACATAATATAGTGATATTAATGTGATGATATACTCATGGTCGATTTTCGCCACAGGACCCAATTTCACTGAGACGAGCGCTAACTGCGCGAGAGATATTATAGTAGGGGTACGCGCAAACACAACGTGCCCTCTCTATTTCTCTCACTCTCATACTCAGGTGGGACGACCAGTGAGAGATCAAGCACAGGACCAATGTCTGTGAAGAACGAGGGAAAACATCACCAACATTCTCACTCCAGGCTGTAACTGAGTCTTTCTTAACAAAAAAACTCAATAAGTAAACTTAGCTCGACCGGGGGTTTGAACCCAGGTCCTCTAGACCTGAAGCCGTACACGCTTGCCACTAGACCACCGGTGCAGTTTATGATACGTTGCGCAAATTATATTTGACAATTTAAAAAGACTGATGGAAGTTCTAATTTAGTAGATTAATATATCGAAGCGCCACGCATGCTACCATGATGGAAAAATGGAATGGAAAAATATTTTTTCCAAAAAAAAACTTTCCAATACCACTTATGTCAAAAAGAGATCTTATAAAAATAAAAAGTCTAGCAACTATCTTAATTTAATCGGAAACTCTCTAGAAGGAACACCGGGCGAAGAGATTTTTTTAATTAAAAGAGGAGCTATTAGTAGGCAGATGAACTCAAACGCAGCGAGGTTAAATCGCTAGTATTTATCATACGAGTTACAACTAGCGACTCACCCTCGCTTCGCTGGGGTTCGTCTCTAAATAAGTTTTAATTTGTTTTGGGAAACCCTAATTCTTTTTCTAAATAAAAGAAGCCTAAGTTACTCCTTATAAAATCAGCTATCTGCCAGCGAAAGTCCCGTCAAAATCGGTCCAGCCGTTTTGGAGATTAGCCGGAATAAACAGACAGACAAAAAATGTTAAAAATTGTGTTTTTATTATAAGTACTGTATATAATTTAATATGCATTTAGTAAAAAGCTGTTATTTTTATATTACAAGCAGACACTTCAATTTTATTTATCTGTATAGATATGTTTGACCTTTACACTTATGCTTATAAGTTTTATTATTATAAACAATTTATCGAGGTCATAAGTATAAAGGCTGTTTATTTAAAAAGGGGCTTTTTTAAATTTATTGGCTTTAGAAATCTTAATGTAATGATGTCACGACCAACCTGATAACAATCAAATCTTATCAAAAATCGTCGCTTAAAGCGTTGTCCTTCATTCGCAGAAAATTTCATTGTAAATAATAATTATTTATTTCAAAATATTCTATATTATGTACCTACTTATACTTTTTATAGGTTTTGCCCATTCATTAAGAAAAATCTAGAACATATTATGCTTTTGAAACAATTATCTTCCAGTATTGATAAATAGATTAAATAAATATAAACATTATTACAAATAATAAATATTTACATAAATGATTTATATAACCTAAATTTTTAATGTTCGTTATTTGTAATTTCGTTTGTGCAAAATCGCAAAGCTCCGAAAGATCTCCGATTCCTTTAAAATAACACAACACATACATAGGTATATATAGCTTAACACTTTGCATAAGATTACATTATTATGTATATATAAGTACGGTTGAATAGGGAATTAAAGTTTGTATGGAAGTTCGTCATTTTCGAAGTTTCAAATATGGAAATTGCTGTTTAAGCTGTTTAAAATATTACAGATGGGAAATCCCATCAGGCTCACTTTTGTTATGATAGAATTTCAAAATATTTATTACTAGCGACTCAGGGCTGGTGCCTAACTTCATCGTGCATGGTACTCCAGACCATAGTCTGTTTGTGTATTTCAGCATGACGAAGTAATTAACACACATAGATACTTACACAAATTTTCACATTTTTATTAGAAACCCGATAGAAATATGAAGTCGACTCATTATATTTAATATCAAACAAAAGTGCCAGATGATAAAATGATTTTTACAAATATTTCATTATTATTTTATATTATGTATGTATACCTATGTCATGAAAATATATGTTTAAATAGATTGTACAAAATAATTCCCTATGTTTAGACTGAAGAAGTACCTACCATCGCTTTTGATTTAATAAAGAATTTTTGCGATTATTGCTAATTGTGAGATAATATTTAACTATAGTTAATTCTGACATTGAAATATGATTTTAAAAATATTTTTTACTAAACTGATTACGTCGATTTTTTCCTGAGATATTCGACTTTCAGTGAAAAAGGATCCTTTTCTTTTTTATCATCAATATCTTAGCATTTAATAGATGCACAATAGATTAAAGGATAATTTTATAAATTTAAGTCATATTTCTACAAGGTATCAATGTATCATGATAGATATCAAGGTATCATGATAGATATCATAGTTTTTTAAGCTATTGCATAGCTTCTATCGCGGGCCTTGAGCGTGGGGACCGAATCCAGAAATGCCGTAGCGAAAAAAACCTGACACCCCCCACTCCGACCGGCACAGCGGTGATACTTTTTAGTTTTTCCATCTATCGATAAATACCAGAACTTTTAATGACTTTTTGAAATATCACGCTTGTCTCTTTAGTTCGGCAACCCGCCTTTAGGTACCTACTCTACCCCAGCCTGCAAATTTATGATATTTGCAATGAAACAAATACTAATCGATAGATTTTCAATAGCTCAATTTAACTACGTAGCCCTTTCAAATTGCTCACCTTTAATTATTTAATTAAAAATCAATAAAATTAATTTATCTGTATATTCAAACTCCTATATCTTTTGATGTATACAATATTTCAAATTGCTCAAAGTTCTAAAACACTGCTCAAGTTGCATTTGTAATTGCTCAAGTAGAGTTTTTACCAGCTCCACTTTCGCTGATTATTAAATAATTAAAAGTATAGTTGTAATAAATGTAACGTAGGTTAAGTGAGCGTGCGCATGCGCACCGCGCATTGTCGGTCGGCCTCGGTGGGCTTGGACAATCGTTCCAATTCAACGTCTTAATTCTGTTTCTCGGTGGATTTCTTTAAATTTATTGAATTTATGAATTGTTCACATTACGTGATTCCACTTCAGATATTATAACATAAAGAACAGATCTGGAATCTACCAATAAATGAAAATTACTGCGCAGCACTCACCTATCTATACGTTAAATTTATTCAAACTAATACTTTCTTAGATTTACGCGAATATTTGACATTTTAAATAAAACTATCTTTTCGGATTTTGAATTGATGACAAATGAATTGAATGAAAATTTTCATTTGTAAAAGTATATATTAATAGTGTTGCTTAGTAAGTTGTTTTTAAATAATAGCAAACTAAATTAAAATTATTATCCTTAATTAATTTTAACTTTTTAAATTACACATAGAACAATTATATGGCTTTAATAATTAATACTACATTTTATATTTTTCTTTATGGTTATAAATATAATAATGGCAACACTAAATATAGATTACTAATTAATATTTTAAAATTGTAATAATTATAAAAATAATAGCAAAATTAAATAAATAATTTTCCATATTCAATTATAATTAAAATTATAAAAATGTTTAAAGTTAAAAAATATTGTAATGTAATTGGTGCAATTTTCATTTTGTTAATTGTGGGTAGGCTGTCTGTAACAACTATACATTCAAGACATGTAACACCTCAGTCTCTCCCGTGACCATGGATGCTGTAAAGCATTCGAAACGTCGGGAAACAAAAATCCAAATAAATCCGCGACAAAATCCGAAAAGATAGTTTTATTTAAAATTATTCAAACTATTTATATTTATTTAATAATTAAGGAAAGTGGAGCTGGTGAGAACTCTACTTGAGCAATTACAAATGCAACTTGAGCAGTATTTTAGAACTTTGAGCAATTTAAAATATTGTATATATCAAAAGATATAGAAATTTGAATATACGAATAAATGAATTTTTTTCAAGGACTTTATTGATTTTTAATTTTATAATTAATGGTGAGCAATTTGGAAGGGCTACGTAGTTGAATTGAGCTATTAAAAATCTATCGATTAGTATTTTTTTCATTGCGAATATCATAAATTTGCAGGCTGGGGTAGGGTAGGTCTTTAGGTGGCATTGGTTGTATTGGAAAACTACCGTAATCAGCTGTTTGTGAGAAAGTATATAGGTGTATAGGTATTTATCATCTATGTACAACAGTGAATATCTGTACTCGTATAATTTGTGTACAAAGTGTTTTAAATATGAATAAACAAAGTGCATTTATTAATGAAGAAAGTCAAGGAAAAAAAATACTGCATTAATAAAATAAATAAATAATTATAATTGCATAAGTTGATAAAAAATGCTATGCCATAGCTTTACCGCGGCAGTCTCCGAGTGCCACACGTCTTTTTTTTTTAATGTTTGTTTATTTTTACATTTTTTATTATTTTTTTAACAAAACTATGACTATTTTAAATAAAACTATCCTTTCGGATTATTTCGCGGTTTTATTTTGATTTTTGGTTCCTAATGGTTTGGTTTTGGGGAACCAAAAATGAAAATAAATCCGCGAAACAATCCGAAAAGATAGTTTTATTTAAAATGTCAAAATATATTCGCGTAAATCTAAGAAAGTATTATGAAAACTATGACTAAATTTTGTAAATATCTATCAACTTAATTTTTTTATTATATTTTTACTATAAATGAATTACATTTCTTTCTGTAATTACCTTAAAATCATTTTTTTTAAAAACATCAATTAATTTAACTCCAAAATCGATCAAAAACTAATAATATATCGATAACTTATGATGACAAATAATGACATAAATAGATTCTACAGCAAAAAAATACAAAAGCAATGGTATACTTTACGTGAATTCCAACTTTTATTATTTTTTCACGACTCGTCAAAATGAAAAGTATTGGGCATTGTATAAATAATAAGCGTCAAATCAAAAACTTGAGGATACCATTTTTTTCGTTTTTTCCCGGAAAAACTTTGGTCAATAAAGTACAGTTCTTCAATGATACCTGAAAAAAATGTAGTTTACAAATTAAAAATCATCATTTTCTCCAATTTTTTAAATTTTTTAGGTTGTTTTTACAAGATGACCGTACAATGTTTTTATATTTTAAAAAAGTAGAGTTTAAGACGAAAAGAATGAGCCCTATCTGAAAATTGAACGATTTTTTTTTAAACGTCCACTTGAAGCTGAGGGTGATTTTCAGTCTCTCGAGACCATAAAACATACTGTTCGCGGAAATAGCTAAATATTTCCATTTATCTATTTTTTATTTATTATATGTATTTGGAAGATTACACTCCCTTAATTTCATGAAAATTAAAAGATTATTCTAGAAATTAAAAAAAAAAAAAAGTTAACAACCGAGTTTTCTGCAAATATCTGAAAAAGTTTGAGGTTATTGTAAAAAGTGTTATTTATAAAAGTTGAAGATTTTTACTAGACCTACAACTTTTGTAAAAAACATTTTTCGAAAAAACGTCACAGTAAGCCGGAAATTGAAAAAAAAAGCTATTTTTCAAAGCTTTGCGTCCGCCCATTTTTCGGGGGCAGCTGGGCATCGGGAACATTTTACGAATTTCTATTCCTTATATACCTAATCATAAAACTTCAGGTTGTCAATATTTTGTTCCCAAACCGGGTCCCGATTGGACTATAATGTGTTTTTGTTTTTAAAAAAAATGTTCAACAACGTTATGTAAATATATTATGATCCTAATAGCATGTAATAAAATGCTTTTTATTATATTTTTATTTATTAATTTATGTCTACGGGGATTAATAAATCGAATAATTCACTATTTTTTCAAGAATCTTATTCTTTCGTCTGTCTGTATATAAATAATTATATCCCTGTTTAAAAAAATATATACCGAGAAGTGGAATACTTATTTTCAAGTTTAGAAAAAAAAAATATGTTGAATATACACAATATAAAATCATATTATATAGGTACCAATAAAATAAAATATTGTAAATATCTTTGGACATTAGCACACAGCACCATCTAGTTCCATGCTAAGCTACGAGGCTTGTGTGAATACCAGATAGTTGATACTCTACACATATAATAACTTTAAATGGGTACATGCTACATACATATTATAAATTTACAATAAAATGCTTTCAAAACAATAATATAATGCAGAAACCTCGGTGTAAGATAATTTTTGCTTTGCACTTCTATACTTATAATAAAATTCTAACTAAGCCGAATCTTTACATTAAATATTTTTGGAAAATCTTACTGAAATAGACAATATTATCGATACAGAGGCCGAATCTATACTTTTTAGAATTTTTGTCTGTCTGTTACCGCATCACGGAAAAACCACTGGAGGGATTTTGATGAAATTTGGTATGGTTATCCGGGTCAACATATAAGATACTTTTTACCGCGGGAAAATATCTTATTTCTGAGAAAAAATACAAAAACTGCAATGTAAAGGTATACTGATATGTAAAACCTAAGAATTTAATTTTTGGTCATCTGAACGCGGGCGGAGCCGCGGGCAATGCTAGTGTAATATAAATAAAAGCAAAAAAGTAAGAACATGTGTACAACCGTTAGGTACTGATTTGCTTTACTTGCAGTTCCGAAAATAGCCACTAGAAAAATTATTAATAGTTGTATTGTGTATCATTCAAAGATATTGAAATTAAATAAACCTGACTACACGCTACGACGATAGTATACTATATAGTTATACATAACATACATTATGATTTTATATCGACATCGATCGATGATACTTCGTATATCTAAAACGTTGGCCAAAAGCAAAGATGCTAAAGCTATAATTATTTTGGAATATTTACTACTGGCAAGTGGCAACAAAATGTTGCCTGTTGGTACTCAGTCCTGTCATTTTAAAAGAAATATCTTTTCGTTTTCCGGAAAATGAAAAGAAAACTAAATTAAAAAAAGATATAAAAAGCTTATAAATAAGTAATATTTCTAAAAAAACTATACTGATGTATTGTTTAAAATTTAATTATTATTTCATGGGAGAGAGAAACGCTTAAACAAAGTGTTATAAATTATTATTTTAAAAATTGATTTAGTAATAGAATTAAGATCACAAAATTAAAAATATTATTCTTTGTTGTCTTAATAAAAGCTTCAGACATTTCTTTAAAAATGGGTGAAGGCCAGCAAAGCATTGGTACTACAGTTCCTATAATTAAATGTTGTATTTTTTTTTTTTTATTTTATTGTAAATCGCTCTATAATTTTTATTTCAGATGATATGGAAATGCTTACTGCGTTATATGATTTTGAAGCGACATTAGCTAAAACATTGAGTTTTTCGGAAGGTGAATATTTTTTTCTTCAGCAGAGTAACACTAAGCAAAGAAACTGGTGGCATGTCGTTAATAGAAAAGGTCATGTTGGTTTTGTACCTTCAAATTACGTAGCTGTAGTCAAGGTAACAATTCATTTGCATTGCTTCATTACGCCAATTAACATATGTATACAGGATCTAATTCAAGTTTACTAAAAAAATTGTATTTTGTAGGTTGATGCAGATTTCTTTTTAGGATTTCTTAATGATTGTATTAGGAATTTGAATGATAATACCACAATGACTTCACAAAAACAAGAGTTGTTAATGAGATTGAATGAAAAGAAGAAACAAATTAAGGCTTCACTAAAACCTTCAAGTAAGAAACAAGCAGCACCCAAGCCCCCACCACGCTTGGATGATAGCACTCCACCCAATGGAGTATCACCTTGCTTTGATTTAAGGCCTGTTGTATCTCAGCAACAAATTTCTGAAGAAAAACATACTTGTTCATCACCTTCTAAGTCACAAAACAGTACTTCGGCATTAAAAGGTATGTTTCTTTCGTATTATTAAATATTTTAGATAATTCTTGATCTATAAAAATCAAGCACAATAATGTCAGAATAAAGCAATTTAATTTTTTTTTATCATGTCTTTCACCAGATATTTTTAATACAATTTATGAATGAGGAGTACCTTTTCAAGTAATATTTATGTATTTATTTGCATATTGTAGTTTCATTTGTAGTATTAATACAATTTCTAATAAATTCTAGCTATATGTCAGTATGTTTAAGCACAGACTAAAGAATAAACATCTAGTGGATCAATGCTTTACATTTTGACATAATAGTAATCTGTTATTAAATGATTATGTACTATTTTATACCTAGGTATGTTTTAACGGTTAGTATGGAATAGATCAGGGTGGTCCTTTGACCAGATCTGTCTCTACAGATATGAGTGGAAGAGACTGGAGGAGGCCTATGTGTCAACAGGACACACTAATGCAGTCTCTGATGTATTTTTAAATAATCTAAAAATTGTAATTTATATCAGCAATAAAGGCTTTTGTATTTGTATGGAATAAATAGACTATATACTATATGATATATAGGTCTTCTTTAATAAACAGGCTATCTAATGTTAAAAGATTTTTTCAAATCAGATTAATAGTTCCTGATATTAGTGCATTTGAATAAACAAACAAAGTCTGCCTCTTTATAATATTAGTATAGATTTGTTAATTTAATATACATATTTTCTCGAAGATGATGATGACAAGAAAACTTTAAGTGCCAAATCAACATCCAATCAGCTATCGTCGGATACTGACAATCAAGATGATAGTCAAGACAGCAGTGAGAGTATTAAACCAAATGCTATATATGAAATTGTTCAAGCAGTTCGCAAAGAGACTCAGCTAAGCCATGATATGTCAAAAGTTGCTGTTGAAACAGTCTTGATTTCTCTCAGGGTACGTACAGATTGTTATTACTAAACATTATAGAATGCTTTATAATAGAATCAAATAAAACAGGAACTGCAACTTAAACAATGCCGCATGTTGTTGTCAATATAATATGTGATCCAACGAATATATCCAGCATGTAAAGAAGCTTTCTAACAATAAGACGACTCCAAATTGTTTTTATAGTTGTAACTAAAATACATGACAGTAGCCCTTCTTCCTTCTTCCCTTGAGATATTCTTAACTCAACACAGATTTTAGAAAAAATGTACTGTTAGCGAAAAAAATGCTAAAATACCAAAAAACTTCTTTTCATGTCAATCGATCCTATTTCATGTAATTGTAGGGATAAAAAGACTGTATGGGACTATTTAAGGTATTAGTACTAGAAATGGCAGAAATCGCCAAAAACTTTTCCCATACATTTTGTACAGAAAAACAATTAATCGGCTCGAAATATTTGTTGTTGCCAAACGGTCCTATTTCTTAATGTGAGGCCAAATGGAGTTTATCAAAAAGTTATGGATGGTCTCCTAGGAACGTTTTCCTGTAACTATACCAGTTAAGGTACCTGCTCTTACTGTCCCGTCTCAAAAATCCACTCTGTATATATATATATATATATATATATATATATATATATATATATATATATATATATTGTAAGTTTTCAATTTTCCATAATATAAATTATTTTAAAAGTTTTCCATCTATAAAATAAAGAAATTATACAAAATGATGCTAACACCAAAACGTCCAATACGTCTTCTATTGAATTTATCATAACAATGGTAAATGAATAATGTTTCAGTTTTATAATTTCCATAACACAATACTTAATAAAGTAATATCCGTGTAATGTCACATTACAGAACTTGTTTGTAATACACAATGCATATTTACACTTAAAACTTCCTTATTTTGTAAGTTCAGTGACAATATTTTTAACCAACATCAAAAAGATAGGTTGCTACCAATTCTCCATACTCGTGGAACTAGAACAACAAACACAGTAGAAAAACAAAAACAAATCTATCCCACGAGAATGTGTGTATGTACCTACTATTACAGACTGTAATCTATCTCTGTGCTAAATTTCATCCAGATCCGTTCAGCCGTTCTGGCGTGATTGAGTAACAAACATCCATCCAAACATCAAAATTTTCACATTTACAATCCCTCCACGGCCGCGGACACGCCGGCGTGTCAGTTAACAATAGATTTCTTAGAATTTTAATTAATGTCTTAGAAATTTACCTGGAGGTGATAATATTAATAAGTTTGGTGCTATTGCAAAATATTATAAATCTTAGTCAAAATGAACAACATTTTGATTGTTTATTTTTTTGTGAGTCTTAATAATTCAGTTCAAAATTCTTTATTCAATTAGATATTTAAGAAATATGTATACTTATTGTTTGGTAAAAACTATAAAGATCTTCATGAAAAAATAATGTAAATAGACTTTTGTGTATTCAAAATGTATAATGCATTTAAACTCTAATAAGGCTGTTGGTTCCATGTAGGAGTTCCTGCCGGGTGGCGCCGCCAGGTCCATAATAGATGCGCTGCTGCGAGAAGCCAATAGTAATATAACCTGTCCAAAGAACGCGATAGACGCGGCTCCGGACGCGCTCAGGATGATGACAGCTCTCAACTCTCTCTCCAAGGCAGCAAATGACGCGCAGCAGAGAGGCTGGGCTCTGCATGACGACGCCCACGACATACAAACACAACTGTTGGAACTTATATCTGTTATGGTAAGGTGTTTTGGTGTGTCTCACTCTCACTTTCCATCTCCCCGTTTTTTATTTCTACATTGTTTAAATATCAACCCGCGACCTTTGTCGTGATACGCCATGCCACATGAACTAATTCTACATTGTAATATAACATCGTTATACGTTCGATACTTGACTTTCCTTAAAGTAATTTTTATTACCCGCTGAGTTATCTCAAGACCATATAAAACGTGCCACATGTCTAACAACTATGTAACAATACTGATATTTACGGCTTCGACTTACCTACACTATGTTGCAGAAATATCGTCATCATAAAATACTTTTTTGCTATAGTAATAAATTAATAAAATCTAGTCGAGATAGTAATTATATGTTCTTCTTTAGTCCTAATTATATTTCTAATTCAACCGATTCTCTTTCTTTAAAAAATATTTCTGGATTGTCTTTGAAGACAACATATTGACTTTTAAAAAAAATTTCAAGTTAATCCTGCAGCAATTTGGTCCCGGATTTCTTTCTTTTTATCATGAACTTATTAGGTCTACATATTATACCTACCGGTTAGTTAAAATCGTATTTAGATCGGTAGGAACCCGTTTATGAGGTTGCAGCAAATGTAACTTGCGAAAAAGACTGTTTTTTTTCGTAGTTTGATCGCGAGCGAACCCACGTGTTCTGTTAGTTAAAATATGATTTTAAATTATTATCACTCAATAATAAGCTATTGTAATGATACAATGATATTATTTTCCAGTCCAATGCAGATGTGAACATATCCCAGCACGTTCTCAGCAGCCATCGCTACGCCTATGTGACCACTCTAGTGCAGTACTACCAGATGGAAACGCGCTGGCCTTTGCGACAATTATTGTTACAGGTAAATAAAATAAAAATATATATATATGTTGGGACATTAACACACAGCACCATTTAGTTCTATGGTGAGCTACCAGTGAGCCTGTGTCATGGATACCAAATAGGATACTTGTAGAGTAAAATTAAAATAAATTAAGTATAAGTTAGTTTATTTTATTTTAATTATCTAGTTAATGATTAATTAAATTAATTATAAAGTTACATAAAAATGTTTATAAAATCAAACTATGTACATTATTAAATGAATTATAAATTTTATTTTTTATTAAGGAAATAAAATTTTTATTATTATAATTATTAAATTAGGGATGCATCGATATGTACTTCTGCCGATACGATACTGGTATTTATAAAAAAGTATCACCGATACCGGTAATGATGCGGATACTGTAGGCTTCAAAAAATGGTATAAAAAGTAAAAAAAATTGTGCGTTTAGGATAGAAAACGCAAAAACAAACGGCATTATTTACATCCGTATTAATATATTATAAATGTTGTTATTCTTTCATGTCAGGACGGCTGAACGGATTTGGATAAAATTTGGCACAGAGATAGATTATAGTCTGGAATAGCACATTGGCTATTTTTTATCCCGGAAAAATTACGTCTTCCATGGGATAATTTAATTTTGTCTAGGAATAAACATGAAACAAAGCGGGGTTGAGTTGCTAGTAAGTAGTATTTAGGATAAATAGCGAAATTTGGAAAATGTAATTTAAAAAAGTATCGATTTTATTTTGAAAATTGTAATTTAAGAGAATATTACTTATTTCTTGGAAACATTAATGTAAAAAAGTATTAATTTAATAACAAAAATTAGAAATTAAAATTTAAAATTCATATTTATGAGATTTTTATCCATAAAAAAAACACGACATCCTTAAATTATTGAAAATATATCGACGTATCGGTACATGAATGTCGATACTTATCGGAAAATCGAGGATGTCTCCGGTGTATCGATTCGGTATCGGACGCATTCCTGAACGCCCCAAATGTGATCAGGCGTTCGGCGTGATGTGCGGGCTGGAGCGCGCGGCGCTGGCCACGCTGGCGGTGTCCGCGCTGCCGGCCGAGGCGGCGCGCGACATGCGCGACCACCCGCGCGCCCTCGCGCGCCTCTCGCACTCCGCGCTGCTGCTCTCCATGGTGCTCTCCATGGGGGACAGGCTGCCCGTCACGCACTTTGGTGAGATTTGTTTTGTTCGGGAATGTAGTACGTATGTGTGTAGGCATTTAAGGTCATGGGATAGACTAAATGTTTTATTTTGAATGTATATTTTTGAATTATAAAATTACTATGGATCAAATTTTAGTCACATAAAATTAAAATTACAGATATGTTTATATTGTCTAAAATATAACGAACACTTTCAGAACAACTGGGAATGGAATTTGCACAATTTCTTCTCGAGCTCATCGAGAACCCACCAGAGACGGATGTGGATGAGCAGATACCGGATTTATTCCTTACTCTCCTTCTCGCATACAATCTGCAGTTTGAGAACCCCTTCGAGAACCTTCTTTTAAACGCGCTAGAGACTATGGATATTGCCAAGACCTTCTGCGAGAAAATACTTTTGTTGCTGAATCGTGAAGGTATATTATTTTTTCTTACTACTAGTATTTATAATATATTAATACAAGAAAAATAGTTTAGATAGAAGGCAATAGGACCTGTTGTGTGTCTGTTAGTATATCATTTAATTGAAATTTTAAAATATATAATAAGTAATATTTCTATAGTGATTGTAACAGTCTATTTGATTTCATTAATTATTCTATAATGTTGCTTACAAGGACTGATAAATTCTGGAAAATTCAAACTTTTTTTTATTTATTAATTTTTAATATTCGGCAAAAAGAATAATTTTAATCCAATTTCAGTGTATGTTAATTCAGATACTAACATTCCGAATTTCAGTCCAATCCGGCTTGCCCCATACGGCTTGATGAAATAAAAAAAACGTGTGTGTGTATTTATGAACGCACATAAGAAGTTATACTTCTTTGGCCTAACAGAACAAAAATAACTAAAGATATCTATTATTTATAAAAGGAATGCAGCTAACTTCATCATGTCGCTTTTTGGCTGTTGGTGTGCGCGCGCATCGTAAAAACTTTACTCTCATAATTACTTCCAAACGTGCCAAAAGAAGTATAACTTCAAAAACACAAATTAATTCACTCACCCACCCACAATGTTATTATAAGTGTACAATCTATGTTGTCATTTGCGTAGTTTACATTTGTTGCTGATAGATGGAGTTATGGGTATGTTGAATCACGCTATCGTTTGGTTCATTCGAATTAGCTAAAAGGATAATTGAGACACATATTAAATGACGGTCCAAATCACTGGTTGTTTTATTGTGACATCAGAAGGAGACGAAGTGTCTCCTGAAGCAGAAATGGATCGTACATTTGGTCCTTCGAGCCGGATTACGGGCCCCTAGAAGTTAGGGTTTTTTGTAAGTCGGCATCGACGTGGTGGCGGTTTGTCATCGATGGTGTCAATCCTGGAGCTTGGAGCCAGGGATTTCAGCCAAGAAGAAGGCAGTGACGTCAGCGCAGTATTGGAGGGAGCGAGAGGTATCAGCTGATGACGTCACGAAGAAGACCCATGACGACACGACCGGACCAGGAGTATGAGAAGATAGTTTATAATAGTGAGTGAAGTGTGCCAGTAAACCGTGAGTACTTTATTCTTTAATACTTTGCCAAACTAAAGTGGACCTTAAGTCAAAGAGAAGAATAAAGCATTAAAATTATAGTTAGTATAGACATAGACTGATTATCGAAGAAAAGTGAACTGACGGGGAACCTATGCCCAAATTTGTCTATGTCCCAAATTGTCAAACACTTAGAGAATTTTATTGTTTACATTGACTTAGAAAAATTTGTGTGAATTTCGGAACAGTGAATAGTTTGTGGACTTATATTATTTTTAATTTGAAATTTAATCTGTTTTAAAAATATTTGGTAATATTGTCAAGTGTCATTAAAAGATTGCCATGGAAGTATTTACTAAACTTCAGGAGAATAATAAGGAGCTTATCTCTAAAGGTAAAATCAACTTTAGGAAATCACCTAAAGATCGTATTTCAGTCTCATATGTTGAAACGCGTTTAGAGGCGTTAGAGAATCAGTGGCAATCGTTTTGTGACATACATCGGCAAATAATTACAGAAGTTAGTAAGAACGAATTAGAAACTTCTAGTTATCATACAAATTCAATTTATGATCAAACTGAAAATCTGTACTTTGATTATAAAACAGAATTAAAAGATGTTTTGAATAAATTACATAATAAAGTTAAATCTGTAGCAGAAACTTCAAAATTATCAAATATACAAGATAAATCTAATTATTTTCTTAAATTACCTGAGATTTCTATACCGAAATTTTCGGGAAAGTATACGGAGTGGACAAGTTTTAAAGATCTTTTTACATCATTAATTCACAATAATATTAAATTAGATAATGTTCAGAAACTACATTATCTCAAGAGTCATTTGACAGGAGAAGCGGAACAGCTGTTAAGACATGTTCCCATTACTGATAAGAATTATAGTGTTTGCTGGACTCAGTTAACTAATCGGTATGATAATAAAAAATATTTATCTAATAATATTCTAAGACGTTTCATGAGCCAAAAATCTTTGCAATATGAATCATCGAGTGCTATTAAGGAGTTATTAGATAATATGAACGAATGTTTAAGCGCGCTACAGAACATAGGCGTTGACATTAGTAATTGGGATATTATTGTTATTTACATATTGATTCAAAAGCTTGATCCTGAGTCCAGAAAACAATGGGAATTAAAGTCAAATGAAACTGAAGGATTGCCCACTTTGTCTGCTTTTAGGGAGTTCCTAGAACATAAATTTAGGTCATTAGAATTTTTGGATACTAAGCATATTATATCTAAGGCTCCTAATGTAAGAAAGGGAATTAATGTCGCCCAAGTTGAAAGTTCAAATAATGCTAGTTTTAATAATACTAATTTAAATTGTCAATTTTGTAAGGCTAATCATAAATTAATAAATTGTAAAGATTTTGCTAAGGCTGATTATGAAACACGACATAGCTTTATCCAGACCAGTCGTTTGTGTTTTAACTGTTTTGGCTCGAATCATTCCGTTTACTCATGCCGCCTATCCACTAGATGTAGAGTGTGTAGACGGAAGCATCATTCTTTGCTCCACCCCCCAAATGTAATGCAGGGAACGGAGAATGCCGAATCTAAGGATAAAGGTGTAGTAGTTTCTTCAGCAACCACTTCACAAGGTGAGACTATAACTAAATTAGATACCTATTTTTCAAATAGTTATAGCCAAGTCCTCTTGGCTACAGCTCTTGTTGAAGTAGAGTCAAGAACAGGTAGTATTGGTTTAGTCTATAGATGTTTGTTGGATCAAGGCTCTCAGGCTTCGTTGATCACGGAGTCTGCTGTCCAAGCCCTTGGACTGAAGAAAATTCCCAACAAGGTCCATATTTCCGGAATCGGAGGAGGAAATGAATCTTTAGCTTCTATGTCGGTAGTTGAAATCAAGCTAAGGTCAATTCATAATCCTCAATTCACTTTGGTCGTCAACGCCCATGTGCTTAGCAAACTGACATCTTTTCTTCCCTCAAAGAAAGTAAATGTTCAGTTGTGGCCAGAACTAACAAGATTGAACATTTTAAATAAAACTATCTTTTCGGATTTTGTCGCGGATTTATTTGTATTTTTGTTTCCCGACGTTTCGAATGCTTTACAGCATCCATGGTCACGGGAGAGACTGAGGTGTTACATGTCTTAAAGATATAGTTGTTACAGACAGCCTACCCACAATTAACAAAATGAAAATTGCACCAATTACATTACAATATTTTAACTTTAAATATTTTTATAATTTTAATTATAATTGAATATGGAAAATTATTTATTTAATTTTTGCTATTATTTTTATAATTATTACAATTTTAAAAATATTAATTAGTAATGTATATTTAGTGTTGCCATTATTATATTTATAACCATAAGAAAAATATAAAATATAGTATTAATTATTTAAGCCACAATTGATCTATGTGTAATTTGAAAAAGTTAAGATTAATTAAAAATTATAATTTTAATTTGCTATTATTTAAAAAACATATTATTAAGCAACACATTACTACATACATTTACAAATGAAAAAGTGAAAAAATATTATTAATCAGAAATGCTATCATTTTGATCTACACAGTAAGAACTTACTACATCTACCTGTCTGTTATGTTTAGATTTATTATTAGATTTTATTATATTAATAACAGGATCCCATGACGATGGTAGTACCCAGCCATCTTCCCTATTGAAATTAGGATGTTTTTTAATTTCTATGGCTTCTCGAATCATTCTAGGGCGATATCGGTTTTCTTTCGCCAGGATTTGAGGTCTATCGAAGCGAATATAATGGCTTGGGCGGTCCTGACTGTGTTTGCAGACAGCAGATGTTGTATTGCGACGGTGCTTCACATCAGCTATGTGTTCTTTGACCCGGGTTCTAATGGATCTCTTTGTTTGTCCGATGTAAGAGAGCCCACAATCACAATCAAGCTTGTAAACTCCTGCATCTTGTAGAGGGATGTGGCACTTGACAGGTGGTAGAAACTGACTAATTTTCTTTGGCGGCTTGAAGTAAGTTTTAATTGAAGCTCGCTTTAGAATGTAGCCAATCTTGTCAGTGACGCCTCTCATGTAAGGTAGGACTGCAGGGACGCGCTCGACTGTGGCTGGTTTCACTCGGTCCCTGTGACGTAGGCGCGGCACTTGCAGCTTGTTGTCTCGCAGAACTTGCTTGACATGTTGCAGCTCTCCGGCCAGGTGTTGCTCGTCACAGATCCCGCGTGCCCTCTGAAACAAAGATTTTCCCACGGTAGCTAACTGTGAAGGGGGGTGGTGAGATTCACCATTCAAGTACCTATCAGTATGGGTCTTCTTTCGATACACAGTATGACTCAAGGTGTTATCTGGGTTACGTATGACTAATACATCTAAGAAAGCTAAAGAATTATTAGACTCCAATTCCATTGTAAATTGTATTTTAGGGTTTATGTTAAGATGTTCTAAGAATACAGATATTTTATCAGATGGTAATATTGTGAAAGTGTCATCTACATACCGCTTGTAGAAACGAGGGGTCACAGGTGATGTGTTTAGGGCGGTCTCCTCGAAGGCCTCCATGAAGATGTCAGCTACAACGGGAGAGACCGGCGAACCCATGGCCACTCCATCCACTTGCTTGTAGAATTCATCATTCCACAATAGATAGCCAGATGTAAGGCAGTGTTTCAAAAGTTCAGTGTATTCTTCTTGCATACTATTATCCCGTAGCTTTCTTGATACTATTTTGACACAGTCCTCTACTGGTAGGTTGGTGAATAGAGACTGTACATCAAAACTGACCATAGTTTCATTGTCCATGAGTTGTAGGTGTTTTATCTCATTGACAAAATGATATGAGTCCCTTGTAAACGCTGATGTTTGTCCTCTGAGTGTTGAGAGTACTTTCGCTACTAGTTGGGCCAATTTATAAGTCGGTGTGTCGATTTGACTCACAATTGGACGTAGCGGAGCGTTAGATTTGTGTATCTTTGGAAGTCCATACAGTTTAGGCGGCTTTGCACAAGATGGAACAAGATTTTTGACATCAAGATTCAATGCATCGGAGTGTTTCTTAATAAGCTTTTTAGTATTATTTAACACAGTGGTGGTTGGGTCTGTTTTGACCTTTTTATATGTACTTTCATCCGACAAAAGTTGTTTAATTTTCTCATTGTAATCTGATGTATCCATCACGACGGTGGCATTTCCCTTGTCTGCGCGTAGTATGATAATGTCTGTCCTGCTGCGTAAGTTCTTCAACGCTAAATACTGTTGTTTGTTGAGATTAGGTTTGGGCCTTGAGCTACGACGTAACAAAGATGAAACATCTTGACGTATGGCCTCCATATCCTCAGATTTCATAGTATTTTTGGCCAGAGCATCTTCAACTGCACAAATAATATTCTCATAAGGGATGCGTGTCGGCGTAACAGCAAAATTTAAGCCTTTACTTAGTACTTGAATAGTAGATTCGTCCAATGTTTGTTTTGACAGATTGACAACTGCTTGACGTACGCACGAATTTGAAACTGTGGTAGACGGACAGGAACAGGAATGGCTTACTTACCGGTCAGATCTTGCAAAACTTAACCATTTCCGCATTCCTCGATGGATTCACACAAATGCTGATGATAAGGAAGTAGAGCTGCACGGTTTCAGTGATGCGTCAAATCATGCCTATGCTGCAGTGATATACGTTCGCAGTATAGATAAGAATAATGCAGTAAATGTGAATTTAGTCACATCGAAGACCAAGGTGTCGCCAATTAAACAAGTCTCCATCCCTCGGTTGGAGCTCTGCGGTGCTCAGCTTCTTGCCAAACTGATTTTGGAGGTTTCAGAGACATTAGAGATTCCTAAAGAGAAAATTCACGCTTGGACAGACTCTTCTGTGGTACTTGCGTGGCTTAGTAGTCACCCAAGTAAATGGAAAACCTTTGTTGCGAATCGCACATCGGAGATCTTGACAATTTTAGATCGAAGTCAATGGGCACACGTAAGATCTAAAGACAACCCAGCTGATTGTGCGTCAAGGGGTGTTAAAGATTATGACAATTTAAGCTTGTGGAGACATGGTCCATCTTGGCTAAGCGAAGCTACGATCAATTACAGTCCACAAGAAGAATGCCAAGATACCAAACTGGAAGAGAGAGATAAAAAACTTTGTCATGTAGATAGTGTTGAGTTGGATGAAGAATTATTTACAAGATTCTCAACACTTCGAAAACTCATTAGAACTGTGGCTTATTTGAGGCGTTATTTAAAATGGCTACGTTCTTCTCGTAAAACTGTTTTTCCTACTTATCTAACAAATCTAGAGTTGAAAGAGGCGTTAGAAAAATGTATAAGTTACTTTCAGAAGAAGTTCTTTGCTTGTGACATCGAAAGTATCATTAAATTTGAATCAGTAGCTAAGAAGAGCAAACTCGTGTCTCTTAATCCGTTTTTAGATAGCAATGGTTTGTTACGAGTTGGGGGACGTTTGCAGAATGCGGAGTTAAGTGACGACATGAAACATCCTATTTTGATTCCACGTAACTCGCATTTAGCACAACTCATCATCGCAGATGCACACGAAAGGACTCTTCATGGAGACCCACGGCTAATGCTCAGTTTTATTAGGACGAAGTACTGGATTGTTGACGCTAAGAATTTAGTCAAGTTGTATGTCCGCAAATGCGTCACATGTATTCGTTATGCTCCTCCGTCTAATCAACCCATTATGGGCCAGTTGCCTGCATCTCGAGTGACAGCTGACAGACCTTTTCGTCAGACCGGAGTAGATTATGCAGGACCCATTGCAATAAGAACCACAAAGGGTAGAGGTCATCGCTCTACTAAAGGTTATATTTGCCTCTTTATATGTATGGCTACTAAAGCTATACATCTTGAAGCTGTGAGTGATATGACCTCTGAAGGATTTATAGCCGCATTTAAACGTATGGTGGCCAGGCGGGGCCACGTTTCAGATTTATGGAGCGATAATGGTTCTAATTTTGTAGGTGCTGAAAAGGAGATTAAAAATTTAATTCTTGAAGAAAGGTCAAGTGTATCTGTTGAAATCGCTAGATGGCTTTCAGGCAACGGCACTACTTGGCATCGTATCCCACCCTATACTCCACACTTTGGTGGATTATGGGAGGCAGGAATTAAATCAACGAAGCACCACCTGAAGAGAGCGATCGGGAACTCAACTCTGACGTTCGAGGAGATGAGTACAGTTCTTTCCCAAATTGAGGCTTGTCTTAATTCAAGGCCATTAACAACTTTAAGTGATGACACACAGGATCCATACCCATTGACACCCGGACATTTTCTTGTAGGAGAACCTCTCTTACTAGTTCCAGAGGCCAATTACGAGAAGTCAACTATAACTAGTCTCCGAAGATGGCAGTATGTACAACGAATGACGCAGTATTTTTGGCGACGGTGGTCTAGTGAGTATTTATCTCAGTTTCTACACCGTTATCGTTGGAATCGTCATTCTCCTGAGCCTAAAATTGGAGATGTCGCTTTAGTTAAGGAAGAAAATCTTCCACCAGCCAGATGGCTTTACGGCGTAATTGTTGACAAACACACTGGTCAGGATAATGTTACGCGTGTTGTAAGTTTGAAATGCAAAGGCATTATCATCATCAAAAGACCTATTTCTAAAATTTGTATTTTACCAGTTACCTAATTAGTAAGTTGAGAAACTAAGACAATGCGTAATGTTAGTTTAAGATTTAAAAAAAAAAAATAAGTAAGGTTTGTTCGTTTAAGTTTGTTGAAGGTTGGTTTTGTTTAAGTTGAGTTATATTGTAGAAGTTCAAATTCTTTATATTGATTATTTGTTAACTTTGTGTAAATACTGTTTATAAGTTATATATTTTTTAAATTGTTTGCACTTCACCCACGATGGATTAGACTTAGTCAAATTATTAGGTTAGATTAATTTTCTTATGAACCGTTCGGTCCATGGTGGGCGGAATGTACAATCTATGTTGTCATTTGCGTAGTTTACATTTGTTGCTGATAGATGGAGTTATGGGTATGTTGAATCACGCTATCGTTTGGTTCATTCGAATTAGCTAAAAGGATAATTGAGACACATATTAAATGACGGTCCAAATCACTGGTTGTTTTATTGTGACATCAGAAGGAGACGAAGTGTCTCCTGAAGCAGAAGTGGATCGTACAATAAGTAGGTACAATATATGAAATTGACCACTTGACAGAGGATCCAGTGCGCATGTTCGAGCACGAGCCGGCGCCCGCGCACGCGGTGCTGAAGCTGGCCGCGGACGTGTTCAGCCGCAAGAAGACTGCGGGACACTTCTACACCAACGATGTCAAGGTGGCCATCGATATTATAGTGAGGCAGCTCGCCGATTTATCTCCTGGAGATGTTGTGAGTATATCTGATTTTACATATATGTATATATATTGTTCCAAGTTAATTTTGTTTCTAGACCGGATATATACGGATACGAAGTACCCTTTATTACTTATCCTATAAACTATCATTTAGTCTATAGCCTATATAATAATTTCATTTATATAAAATAACTAGGTACATACGTTTTTACGGTTGGAAATATAGATAAATAGTTTAAAAAAAACATCCCCTTTAAGATAGGGTATCGCAGTCTAGAAATATGAATTTTAGGTATTTTTTCATGAGCAATAAAAAAACCAAACAATATTTTTATTTGCCATTATTTTACCAGATATTTATTAAAGTTTGAAGAATACATAAAAAAATCAAGTGAAAAATTTAACAATTCAAAACGTTGCAGACTCAAAAAAACTACAATCGTCCAAACTTTAAAGAAATGAAATAATTTTTTTTTCGTTTTTCGCAAAATACCGGCTGTCTGAAATAAAAAGAAATTTTTTTACCAATATTTTTTAAGTCTCCGTTTTTTTAAAAAATAGTAAAATTAAATTTTGTTACAGTTTTAATTAGTGCGATTGAGTATTGTATAGAGAAAGCTAAGTAAATTGGTTCAGTAGAAATTGAGATATCAGGACAATTGTCTCGAAAAAAGTAGTTTCGAGAAAAACTCGTTTAATATCTTGAGTCAATTTTCCCGCAATTTTGTTCAGAAAATGGCACGATATACTTACCATTTTTAATGACCTTCAATTAAATATATACATTACTAAAGCAAAAGCACACACATGCCAAATTTTACTAAATTAGGTGCATAAGTTGTTGTGTACTAAGCTGTATAAGTTGCTATAGTTTTTTAACTATCCCACGGAAACTCTTTAATTTTCTGGAATGAAAAGTATCTTACATGTTGACCGGGAATATAAGGTACTACCATGCAAAATTTCATTTAATTCGTTTCAATAGTTTCGTAAATTAGCCCGAACAAACAGACAGAGAAACAAAAAAATTGAAAAAAAAACTGTATTTGTTCTATTTCTCTTCTTTCGGGATGTAAGAAGAGAACTGACTCGGTTTTTAGCATTTTTTTCTAATCTCTACAGTTTTATTATATGTATAGATAGAATAAACAACGTATAATAAAACAGTAATATATAATAATGAAAATAGTTATAGCGAGTGTACCTTAGGAGATAGACATATACTATCGTATGTAGAACTTTTCTATAGACCTTTTTAAGACTTACAATTTTCTCGCACAATGTTTTGATCTATCTCTTAAGGTTAAGCCAACGTTAGCCATATAAATTTCTAAGGACGATTCCATAGAACCAGTTATTGTGATTTCTCGTGGGATTGAATAATTTGCCTGTCGTAAAAGGTATCCTAAATGTTGACCCGAGTACTAAGTTTTATCACTATACAAAATTTAGTTAAAATCGGTGGAGTACTTTTTGCGTGATAGAGAGACGTATAGATAAGAATAAATATTGCGAGTGTAACTTAGGAGATAGACATATACAATTCAGGACTTTTCTGTAGGACTTTTCAAGACCTTCAATTTTTTAGTATATTGTTTTAATGTATGTATGTCTTAAGGCTTAGCCAGCGGAAGGTTTCTAGGGAGGACTCGATAAAACCAGTTAATTGTATTTTCCCGTGGGAAAGAAAGATTTTCTTGAAGTAAAAGGTATCTAGGCAGTGGTATTCCAGTGGTAACGCGCTCGCTTGGGAAACCGAGTGAAGCAAGTTCAAATCCCGGGTCTCGCACCTCTGATATTTTCATGTGTGAATCATTTCTAACACAATTCCTACTTGTTTTAACGGTGAAGTAAAACATCGTGAGGAAACCTGCATGTCTGAGAGAACCTAGCAAGTTTTCAAAAGACATGTGAAGTCCGCCCGCACTTGGCCAGCGTGGTGGACTATGGCCTGATCCCTCTCGTACTGAAGGGAGGCCCGTGCCCAGCAGTGGGACGTTAAAAAGGGCTAAATAGATACATACATAAATACATACAAAAGGTATCATATATGTTGACTCGAGTAATAAGTTATCAGTTCACCAAATTTCGTTGAAATCGGTACATTACTTTTCGCGTGAAACGCTCACGCAAAAACAGACAAACAGACATACAGGCAAATAGACAAACAGACATTTTTTATAACTATTGTTTTGGGGTCTATTTTGTGTACATAATACGTTACAAATAAACAAAAACATCTATCCCACGGGAACAGTACATTTCTCCGGGATAAAAAGTAACGTATTTGTTATTCTGATGTATGAGCAATATTATTGTAAAGTTTCATCAAAATCCAATCAGTTGTTTTTGTGTACTAAGCTGTATAAGTTACTATAGATTTTTGACTATCCCACGGGAACTCTTTAATTTTCCGGGATAAAAAGTAACTGATTTGTTTTTGTCATGTTTGAACTATATTATTGTATAGTTTCATTAAAATCCAATCAGTAGTTTTTGTGTACTAATCTGTATAAGTTGTTATAGTTTTTTAACTATCACACGGGAACTCGTTAATTTTCCGGGATGAAAAGTATCTAAGATGTTGCCCGGGGATACAAGGTACCACCATGCAAAATTTCATTTAAATCGGTCTAATAGATTCAGAGATTAGCCCGTACAAACTGAAAAACAGACAAACAGCTTGCTCGGGGTCGTCCATACCTACGAATATGTTGTATTATCTCTTTAACCATTTGTCCAAATTATATGCAGTAAAAGGGAAAATTCTTTTGTTTTAAACATTTTAGACGATAAATTTACTTATTTTGATAAGAATTTATAATTGTTGATAATATGACCAATAAACTTGACCTACCGATTTAAATTATTTTTTTAATATAAAAAACTACTTTTTGTGACTTAAATATAAAAGTTAGACATATGCTGTCGCTGACTTTTTTGTAGGCATTATTAAGCTCTACAACTTTTCTCTAGAACACAATCATATATCTCTCATCGTTAAGGCAGCGTTCGTAAAAAACGTTTTCGTTCGACCGTTTTTTCTTCGACTTTCTTTGCAAATCCGACTACCACGCAAAAGCCTTTTCATTTTTCGAGTTAATATATAGCCTATGACACTCAGAAAGAACGTGGCTTTCTATTGGTAAAAGAATTTTGAAAATCGGTTCAGTAGATCTAGAGATTACCCCCTACAACGTCACAAACTCACAAACTGACAAGATTACAAACTTTACCTCTTTATAATATTATTATAGGTATAGAAAAAAAAGTTTTATGGGCGAATTCATTCGCAGGTATACGGGCAGCGCCTGCCGCCTATTATACAATATATTCTGGTAGGATCAGTTTAGATTCCGCGTCACTAAAATTGCTGTAACTCGGTAAATAATTGGAATTTTAAAAAATCCTTTTGAGGGCAAATTTTTGAATGTTAAAATTTGGAAATATAAAAAAGACGTTTCGGATTTTTCAAAGTTTTAGTGTACATTTTAGCGATTTTCATTCGATTTCATTCACATCGAGTTTCAATTTAGCTATAAAAAGTAACCTATGTCCCTCGAGGTCCCGTTAATCATCTCTATTCCAAAATTGTTCAATATCGTTTCAGCGGATTAGGCGTGAAAACGTACCGGACAGACAGACTGAGTTATTATCGAATTTATAATTATGATGGGTAAATATGTCAATGGATTTGAATATTCCAGCGTCGCCAACAATACCTGAAGATACTGCAGGGCATCATCCGCAACACGGAGTACGGCGCGCACCGCCACCGCCGCGACGACCTGCGCCGCGCCTTCGCCAGGATCTTCTGCGAGGAGGGCGGCGCCGGCGCGCAAGACCAGGCGCTAGTTCGCGCCATCTCCAATGAGTTCCCGCAGTATTTCAAGACTTAAGCTATTATTTTGGGTTAGTTTTGTTAAATGTGTGTATGTATGTATGTATGTATGTAATTGAATATCTTCTGCGAGGAGGGTGCGTGAAGCCAGAACGATGAGCCATATCTAATGAGTTCCCACATTATTTCAAAGTTTAAGTTATTACTATGGTTTTGTTTTGTTAGATGTGTGGATGAATGTATGTATGTGTGTGTGTGTGTTTAGGTATGTATATATTTTAGTACTGACACGAGTTGTGAGTATAGGTTTTGTAATAAGAGGCAAGAGTGCATTCCCTTATTATTAATTAATTAAGTTATATTATATGATTGTTGTTTTTTTGGAAACACCTATTTAGTTAGTTTTGCAAATGTATATAATGCACTGCACTGCATTCCGAGCCGGTGGTAGCTTCCTAACAGACCGACTACACTGACATTAAATTTTAATTTAAAATGTAAAATTGACGATTCAAAAGAGCTTGTGAAATTCTATTCCAATAAAGTATATTATTTGGATTTCATTTGAACGAAATAGGTGTTCTCAATTGTTACTTCTGAGACTTAAAAACGAGTCAAGATAACTTTTTCTATCTTAAACGGCAGCTTATTAGGTAGTCTAGTTTTATAATATTTTATTAAATTAAATGCTGAATGATAATTATTCCCTCAACGACCGCGGACACACCAGTGTTACAGCTTACAATAGATTTCTTAAAATTTAATTAATTTCTAAAAAATTTACCTGGAGGTGTTAATTGCTTAAAACTAATTCTTGTCAAATTTCCATTGGATATCCTTATGATAAAAGTTTATACTCCATAGAAAAATGTTTTTGCAGTATGTTAAATCAAACTATCATAAATCCATCGTGATACTTATAGGTACCTTCGATGTTATCTTTTAAGCTAAATATGGTGAAAATTGACCATATTGTTTGTTCAGATTATACTCATACTTCGTACCGGTAATATATTTATATAAAAATATCTTCTTCTACTAAAATAAAATAACAGTACGATATTTATTCGAACTTTCTTTATGATCTTGCATTATGTGCGTTTAGAATTTAAGCGTTCATTTACTTATAAATATCAAAGCAGTAGAAATGAGAAAAGGTAATATTTGAATATAGATAAAAAAATATGTTCATTTTGTCTTAAAACTGATATTGTTACAATTTATTTTAAAATTTCACCAAAAGAAAATTGAATATCAAAATTAAATATTCGGCAAAAGTACAGGAAATTAACTTAATTGTTCTGGCGAGTTTGCAATATAGGAGATAGTTTTAAGCAAACTCTAGTCATCCTTCCCATGACTTACTATTGTTTTTGTCTGATATATTAAATAGTTCTTATTATCAATAGTGGATGTGTGAAATAAAATTAACTATCCTCCATATATAAAATAAAATAAATAAAATATAAGAATAAATTAGAGTTTGTCGTATTTTGTGGATAAATATTTGTCTGGGTCAGTATTTAATGTAGTAGAGTGACAGATCTCTTCATATAATTATAGTGTTGTTGTTGATAAAAAAAAGATATATTTGAGAGTTTTAAAATATTCGATATTCGTAATTGGCTGTGGTCTAGAGCTAACTCCGGTGTTCGCCTCAATGTTACCGTGTCTTATGATAACTCCTAAATGTACGTATTATAATAGTTATGCATGCAAATTTTAAATATTATAGATTCTTCAATAATATTCTAATTGAATTCGATCGTTCGGCTTACATTTTAATATTAAACAAAGTTACTATTTAAATTTATTGTAGGATATTATGTGCGATGTGTCGGTTTAAAGCGTTTTGAAAAATCTATTTGAATTCAATATTTTGTGCTTCTTTTCGTCGGTATAACTTGCCTTTTATTTCATTAATAAATATTATAGACAAACATACATAGATATATAATTACTAATTATGTATAGTAAATGATATATTATAGTAAATGATATTTTTGATGTTATATGTAAAATCCTTTTATTTGTTCGTTCACATTAAGTAAATATTTTATTAGATATTTATTGTATAGAATGCACAAATCCAGAAAAATACTTTATGAGACTTCTAAAGTTAATTTTCAACGTTATTTGTGTGGAGCTTGAATATAGCCTTATTCTTAGACATAGACACCTCATTTCATTAATATTACATGGCATTTAGAGTGTCTTGATACTGTTATTCTATATATCTTTAAAGACTACAGTTTATAGGTTGGTTCTTTAAAGCGATGATCTCATTACTCTTGAATAAACATAAAATGTTTTTTTTTGGCTTAAAGCTATATATATCAACAATTACATTATTTGTTATTTTTAAATCGATTAAACTTTTAGCTTTTAGATAAACATGAAATGATATACAAACTTCTTGTACATGAGACGAAATATATTATGATGAGTTATGTCAAAATATTAATTTTAAAGTATGGGATTATAGATTCGTTGGAATGCAAGTAATAATTGATTATAATCTAGGTACTTATTACCTGTGCAGATAAATAATGGGATGGATATTATCTATATTTATAGAATAATGATTGAAATGGTGGAATAGTTAGGACTGTACTGTTAGCATACTGTAGTTGTAGCGAACAGATTATAAAAATGTATTTCTCTAATAATATTTAGTTAGATATGACGTTATGCTAATTTTTGATGTGATTGGACACTATTTTGGGTCGTTTTAAGATTAAAATAATTTAAATATTGTGGAAGGTATGACATTAAATTTTAAGATAACATTAATCTTAATTAAATCTTGTGAAAAGAAATGACGTAATAAATAACATATTATAAATATTACTACACCATTTTTTGCTGTCTGTACCATTGTGCTTGCTAATAAAGACGACAGTTCAAGTCTCTTGTAAAATGGTTTCAAAGCGCGCCAGTTCAGTACTGATACTTTGTGAATGTCGCGGAGAGTGGAGAAGATACGAGGGAGAAAAGACTACGTATTCCATTTTTTATCTGCACGAGTTGCGTATTGTTTGTGAAGATATTAAGAAATGTTACAGCGTTGATTTATTGATATAATTGATTGTTTCTTAATATCATACACTGCTCTCTGTAGGTTTATTTTGTTCACTTAAAATATTTTGTACTTAGTGATGTATGTTATTTTAATATTAATGTGCCATTTATTGCACCAAAGACGTGTGATTGCTTACTTTTTGGATACCAGTAACACTCCTTTATGTCGATCGAAAATAACTTACCACATTTTCCTAAGAATTTAGCCCCAAAATAAAGATATTTAATATTTTAATTTTATCCAGTGATCGATCCTAAATAACAATATTGTTAAAAAGAGTAATTATAAAAGATAGCATTCCCTTTAAAGTCGCAATATTTTTAAACGTTAAGAATCTGTTTAATCGGTTCACGTTTCGTATTTAAACACTTTTGTTTAATTATTTAGAATAATAATGACCTAAATCTAAATTGTATGACGTAAAGTCAAATAACTTTAATATATCAATTGTAAAAAAAATTAATTTGAAACTTAAAAATAGTAATTGCTTTTGCAAACTATTTCACATTAGTTCGGCGTTTTCAAAAAAAAACTCAAATGGTTCGTTGTAATTCTGAAGGAGTGAAGCAATCAATATGTTAATATTATGTCTTTATGATTATCGTTACTTTAATTTAAAATAAGGCACTAATAGCTTATGTCAATTATTCCAATTATATAGCCAAGATATATATTTATATATTAATAATCGAAGTCCGCCAACCTGCACTCGGCCAGCGTGGTGGACTATGGCCTGATCCCCCTCGTATAGAAGGCAGGCCCGCGCCCAGCAGTGGGACATTAAAAAGGGCTGAATACAACTACAAATCGTATTGTATCAGAGTTGCATTTGCATAGCTTATAGTTTTGACAGGCCTAACTAAGTATAGCTTATTTGTGTTTAAAATAGAAAGAGATTTTAGTTAAAGATCTTTGTGTCATTTTTATTTATTTAAAGAGAATATTTGTAACTTAATTTGCAAAGAGAATTTGTATTTATATAGTAGGTATGCGTCTTGTCTGTTTCAATATTGTATAAATTGTGAATTAACTGTTCAAAATTACTAATCAGATACGGATATTTTCATAAATAGATCTTATATGTGTAGTGTTACTTCAATGATGATATTTTAGAAAAAAAAATATTATTGTATGATCATCAAGTGTGGAAAATCTAATCGATGTTACTTATGAGAAAAATACTATTGCATGTTTCAAATGAATTTGTTTGTGTATTTAAAATTATCAATAAATTCAAAGTTGTCCATGTTTTCTTAAATTTTAATCGTAGTTACTGTTGATCATCGACCAATATATCAGGGTATCATATTTAAAGGCAAAAAATATGAATTTTCTTTACAGATATAATCTAAAAGTTATCATTAAATGAAATACATATGTAAAATACGTATACTTCAGAAAAATGATATAATTGATTGTAAGAAGCTATCTGTAATAAGATATACATATTGATATTTACCTTGCCTCATGAAATATTTCTCAAATAATGTGAAAAATCTATAAAAAGTTTTAGTCTACATCAAAAAATTTATCACTTTTAATAGTATGTAATTACATTTTAAATCTTATTTCAGTGTAAAGGCTTCTTGAGGTTGCTCAAAATGAGGCCTAATATTTACCAATATATTGTGAAAATTGTGTGTATATTTGTGAAAATGGATTTTTTGTTTTTGTAGTAACTTTTTCTTGTAATTATATTCAAAAATCTTAAAACTACATTTTTGTTTCTGGATTATCTACTAATAAACATCTATTAACTTCTCCTCAATACAATTTGGGCGCCATCTTTTATTGGAGTTACATACTCTAGTTCCAAAATACATCGTGTACTTTGAGTGAAGTTTATTTTCCTTGTAAGTGAAAATAGGTTAAAATTAAGGCTTAACTAATTGCACAAAAATTAGCTTACATTAGTTTTACTTCTCAGAGTGCTTCTGTTTATTAGAAATTATGATCCAGCAACAATATTAATATCATAATCAGTCATCAAACATTCGCAATCGTCAGATAACTTTGTAAGAAAAAGTTCGAACTTCGTAAAATATTGATACCGGAAATTTTCCATTTGATCATGTTTTTTCTTTTAATAAAATTCAATTTAAACTAATAAAGAAATAAATAAGTAACAAAGAATTTTTGATTTTATTCCTTCATATTATTATATTATATACTTACGTTTTAACGTTTAGTATAGATTTCTCAGGGATGAGATATTTTTCCGCAGTAAAAAGTGTCCCATATGTTAAACCGGATAACCAGTTATCATCATACCAAATTTCATCAAAATCTGTCCAGTGGTTTTCTCATGATACGGTAACAGACAGACACAAAAATTCTAAAAACTAAATTCGGCCTCTGTGTCGATAAAGAAGTCTACTTCAATAAGATTTTCCAAAAAATATTGTTTGTACAGATTCGGCTTAGAATTTTATTATATGTATAGATTATATAATAATAATAGAAGTGAGTTAGTGAAAATATTTGGATTGTTTTGAACACAGAGAGAACCTCCAGTACGAAGGACACTTTCAAAACACTTTAGTTTTGAACATATCAACAGATGGCATTGCTTAATAAAATTTGACGTGACTAGTACTTAGTTAATAAATTAAACAACAAATAATAAGAACAGGTCAAGTGCGAGTTATACTGAATTGCGCTAGAAAAGATATCAACTTTTTATTATTACAGAGTCCTTTTGTTGCTAAAAAGATACGTAATTAACAGAAATATGTAGTCACAGACCCGAGTGCAAAGTTTGGCGAGTACTTGCAGACTTAAAGTTTTATGAAAATGACTTAATCACAGGAATCAAAACCACAACTTCTACCTACCTCCTGATTCCTGATATCAATATTAACTTCCTAGTTTGCCTAAAGGTTCTATGGTAATATATTACGAAATTCTACCAAAATAGATATTTCTCTGTGACAACCCTTTCAGTAATGCACAGACTGCCTCAATGATGTGCCTCGTGCCTCGAAAAGTACGTAATGCCGTCGGTCCTTCGCCTTAACTCACTGGTCGTGTCGAGTAGTTGTCCCACCAGAGTATGAGAGTGACAGGAATAGAGAGTGCAGTTGTGTCCGCTCGCACACTATAATATCTCCTGTGCAGATGGCTAGTCTCAATGAGATTGGCCGCCATGGCCGGAATCGGATCGGGAGGACATTATTAATGCTCAGGAGATATACAAGTCGGTGGTGTATGGAGGGTAGTGGTAAGGAGGAGTCACTTATATGGGAGATAAGACGATAGTGACCCACGTATGCTGAAAATAGATGGCGCTGGCGTACCAAAAACCACGATATGATTTTAGCTGTTGTAGACGGAGTGACCAATCCGGTACTTGTTTATTTCTCTGACTTACTCTAATTACTTTTGGCACTTCCTTAAAAATTTATCCTACGCTACCGCAGCGCCACCCTTATTGATCGCGTTTTCACGAACACTTTTTCATACACAGAGATACATATATAGTATAGATATAGATAGTACTTTTTACTTCTACACTCCATAGTCCATGCTGTGGTGTTACACCACCTTGCTTTGGAAAGCACGTAAAGGTCACTCTGTAATATTTTTTATTTATAATACTGTTAAATTAAACGTAAGTTTTACGAATGTATTAGATTGTTGCATTAAATTTATACATGGTATTTAAACATGAAGAATAATTTATAGTATTTAAACACATTTTAGGTGTATGTTGTTTGTAAAATGTACATTTCATCTAAAACAAATCGGTAGTTTGATTATAAAAGGATTACCCCATCAGGGAAATAAATAAAACAACTCATTTCATACATGTATTTAATGTACCATTATGAATGCGTATAAATATTTAAAAATGTAAAACAGTGATAAAATTCATAGTAACCAATATACAACTGTAATCAATAAAACTAAGTTTAAAAATTATACGTTTCCCAAATAGATTATTCATAGAGTCAAATGTCAAAAGTTACAGATTAAAAATTTTATATCGCTGTTCGCAAACAATGCTCATTTAGGTAGGTATGTACTTAAAATTTATATTTGCAGGTACTGTCTTTTCGTTTGGTTTATTATTATCGAATAGAAAACTTTCATTTCGCTGATTAAAGGACAGGGTTTTACATTATAAAAACTTGGCCCCGGCATCTCTAAGGGATCCACAAAAACGGGAATATTTAAAATTTGTAAATATGCTCTTTGCACTGAGTAAAAATTATCGCATATTTTATCGCGATTCGCTACTTATGCTTACAGTCTTCGTACGGATTGTATATTTTAGTAAAAAAATCTTTAAAATGCATAAAATTTTTCACTGGAATGTAATTTTATACAAAATGGAATACAAATAACTTTTATCTAATCAATAGAAAACTTACTCAATTTCTACACAAGGAAACTATATGGAGGTACCCCTCGTACAAACACATTGCATTGAGCGTTATCCTATATGTATAATTATCGATAAACATGCTACATGTAGTAAATTGATTATAACAAGTATTACCACAAGACGTTACATCGAATTTGGCAACTTGCATGAACACTTCCTTAACAGTACAGACGCGTACATCGATCTAACATACATTATATTAACTTCTCTCAACCATCTAAGCAACATTATACTGAAAATCTGTCGAAAATTTTAATTATACAATTATTGATATCTAGGTAATATTTTTAAAAATTGGGAAATCATTTGATTTTCTTTCTATCTGAAGCTAATTAATTGTCTCTAATAATAAATACTTTCGAATCTATTCACTACGAATCAATCACATACTACAACTATCGAACACTCGCACATTACATTCATTAAATTTTAATTTATATACAGATTACATACTAAAATATCTTAACTAATAATAATATACTAAAATGTTGATAACTCTGTACCTAGTATCAGGTATATGGCCACTTTGTTTTTTATCTGTTACTAACTGATAGAATTGTTATGTATAGGTACTTATGGATCAACGACAACCCATTCCTATGAATTTAATTATATTCAGGATCATTTTTAAACTACAAGTCAATTATTAACTCTAATATTCAACACATAATAAGTTTTATTCATAATTATAAATTACCACACAGTAGCGAGTACCTACAGTGAAGTTTTAAAGCAACAAGAATGTGTTTTCGTTGATCCGATATAACATGATTACATAAAATTTGCATTGGGTCCTTGTTTCAGTTAAAAATCTAGCATTAAACTAAAAAAATACAGGTTTCCTCGTTATTTGGAGTACGAATCATTTTTTTTTAAATAAAAGGAAACATCAGTCGTCATAATTTTGAAGACGGATTTAAATTGCAAGAATTTATAAAAATTTCAAAATAAGAACAACGCACAACCACAAGAACAATAACATAGACAATAATGTAGAATTTGGTCAATCTAAAGTTAACAAATTGAGCTATTAATAGGTACCTACTATAGAGTGTAGACATAGGTTATCTATTTTTTGTTTTTTTTTTTTTGGTATTTGTTTAAATAAGTCGTTGTTCCGAATGAACTGAATTGGAAATCAATCACAAAATATTTATATTATATTGTAATATAACACTTTGATTTTAGGTCGTTTGAATAATAAAAAAAAATTAAATATTAGAATTTACAATATTTGGTGTTGTGCGCTAGTTGATAGCATAGTTTTTAAACATCCAGTTGCAGTATGTAATTAACTACAGATAAAGTTAATATCTTTATTACTATTACAATGTATAATATATTCATTCAAAAACTGACGTTAATAGTTACACCATGAATATATATAAAAAAAATCGAACAACATTGAACTTTAGAAAAAAATGGCGACACTTTAAATAGAGCAATTTTAAATAAAACCATATTTTCACATTTTTTCAAACAGTAAATAATTTTAAATAATTAAACTATAGCGACACAAATTAGAATTATTATTATTTTTTTAAATTAACTTCGAAACATCGCGAACCAAAAGTCTAAATGAATCTGCGAAAACAAACAAATAGACTAAAATATAGTTTTATTTAAAATATCAAATGCTTACTTAAATCTAAGAAAGATATGGAACATAAAAACTACGCTGTCAACGTGAGTAGGTAGTGCAGGTCACCGGTAGTCGTTTAGCTGGGGTTGTGCGCGGCCTTGCGCGGGCGCGCGCCGCCGGTACCGCGCACAGTGTACAGCACCACCGCGAGCACCGCCACCACCGACATGCCGATGGCGTTTATGACTATCGCCTCGGTGCCCATCGCGGCGTACGTCTCGCTCCTGCGCACCGCATGCCCCGGGTTAGTTAGTTAAAATATATAAGGTTAATAAAACCTTTTTAATTATTATCTTAAATTATGGTTATGAGTGCGTGTATAGAAAAGCACAGCTTAAAAAGCGTTTATTTGAAAGCTCTTAAGCGTGATCCGAATTCCTAAAATCTCAGAATAATTTAGATAGCTTGTTAAAACTCTAAATATAAACTTATATAAAGCGTTAAACTAAATAGTAAGTGTTAATGCAATGAATAAAAAAATGAAATCGATTTGATCTTGTTAGTCATGTTAAAAAAAAGCAAACCAATCCTTAATATACAACAAAATTAAAAGTCAATTTGCCTCACAACATTTTATTACAACAGAATAATGATTACTATCAAATATGTAACCTATTATTAACTTTATTTAAAATTACTATTAGGTATGATCTAACTTATTATTATAATAATGAAAAGAAAAAAATTTTGGTCTGATACAGACCGAGTCTAATCTATGATCTATCGCTTTATAAACGTATCTTATTGTAGAAGCCTCCATATTTGTACATAGGTAGGTACTTTTTATTGTTTGTTATTTGCTTTTAACCTAAAGGAGTTAAATCGTATTTTATAAAACTAAATTAATTAAAATTTATAAAAATATAATTTTCTTTAAATAAAATCACGTACATGAAATATATATGTTATATGAAATCAAAATATATATATATGAAAATAAAATTAATAATGATGTTTATTGGGAGCATTAATATCATGTTATTTTTTTTCTTGACCGTCGATTTTCCGTGTTAAAAGAGATTCTGTACACAATTTAAAAAAAAATTACATCCAATAATCTAATTACACCGTGCAAAAAAACTTTTTGTATATATTCTTTTGTCAGATAAAACTATCTTTTCAAATTGTTTCTCGGATTTATTTTAATTTTTGGTTCCAAAACAAAAAAGTCGAAGGAAAAAAAATTGAAATAAATCCGCGAATACATTCGAGATGATAATTTTGTTTTACTTTAAAATGTCAAATATTCGCATACATCTAAGAAAGTATTCTTTAATCAGCATGATTTAATCTACAAGTCAACGGAAGCTCTTATATCACGAGCTTCCGCTTTGAATTTGTTCCTAGATAGGATGTATATGACGACCGCCAGAATGGCAACGATGGTGACGCCGATCGCGTTCAGGATCACCCCCTCGTCCGGGAGACCGCTGTACCGTTCCGGGCTGTGGATACGTACACTTACAATAGGGCTGCCATAACTAATTTTAAATGTTTTAATTAAAAAATAAATAAATAATAACTGCTTTTATACTAGCTTTTTTTCTCTTAATGATTTATCCTAAGTTGTATACCTTATGACAACCCTAACATACAACTGCCACAAGACACATGCAAAATGTAAAAAAAATATGAAGAACATTTCAGACATTTATGAAATAAGTCTAAAATAAAGTACGATAATGATCACTTCAAATAGAAGCTCCTCCATGCTCGAATGCCACATTCACAACACAATAACATAAACACATTTCTTATTGTATGAAAATGCTAAAATCAAAATAAAACTAGAATTTCTTAGGTAAAATAACATATTATAATGAATTAGTAACTTTTGTATATGAATACCTGATTTCTCCCACAGTAGCATTTCTGGAGTAAAGTATACCATAAGTATATAATAAACTATAGATTATTATTATAGTCTACCAGTAATGTATTTGATCAAATATTCTAAATTAAATTAGCAAAATCATTTAAAACTTGTTTTGCTACTGTATGAATTAGATTTTGTAGATATTTTAAAATATACGTACCCAAGGGTAAAGAGAGCTTTTTCAGTAAGTCCAGTGAGGCAAGCGCTGGCCCCGAGTACAAAGGTCAGAATACCAAATGCAGCGTGAATAGGTACCAACGAGGCGCGGAAATTGGCCGTTCCCTTGTTACAGATCAATAACAGAAGGAAACTGAAGAAACCGACCGCATACTGCAAATAAAAGTTTAAGCTCAACACTCAAAGTATGACTTTTAAACGATTTGGAATTTTAAAATTGGGTCTTTCCTTGCGTCATCTAACTTGAAAAAGAAATTTTCATATTAAAATGAAATTATTCAGAATGAGTTACGAGTAGCTATGAACTGTATAATATAGCTACAATATGAAAGCGTTTTACTACCTTTTCAAAGTTTTTATGAAAATGGAATTTATAACATTCGTATTTCTTATGGAAATTCATTTAATATTCTCCATTTTTCAGTAAAATCTTATTAAAAAACTTTTTAACAAAAAAATAAAAACCGACTTCAAACAAAAGCACTAAAAAGTAAAAAATAACTGATTGGTAGTTTTCATTTACTATACATACCTAATCAAATATTTTCGAAGTCGGTGTGCTTTGCTTTGTATGGGCTGGCACCGATTTCGAAAATATTTGATTAAGTATGTATTTAATAGGTAGGCTTTAATGACTTAGCCAAAGCACACCGACTTCGAAAATATTTGATTAGGTATGTATAGTAAATGAAAACTACCAATCAGTTATTTTTTACTTTTTAGTGCTTTTGTTTGAAGTCGGTTTTTATTTTTTTGTTAAAAAGTTTTTATTTTTCCCTTTTTAGTGTAGACAGTAGTAGCAAAGTAAGGATTTTAACGTGTTAGGCTTGTGAAATCAAACAAAATAAGCCCAAACTCAAAGTATCTACTATTAGCCGTTGAAGAGTTCCACCTATCCACCTTCTGGCCTTGCCATCAGATCAGGTCAACAACACCGAACCACTGTACTATCAACGGAAATAGAAATACTTGCAAAGTTTCAAGTCAATATGACAATTAGAAGTAGGTTAAATTCATCATTAGTTGTTTTTCCACCCTTAGGGGTGGTATTTTTTTTTGAAATTTAAATGGGACCAATCTGGAAGTATACCCTTTCAAACAAAACAAAAATTGTCCAAATCGGTCAATAAATGACGGAGTTCTGAGGTAACAAACATAAAAAAAAAAAAAAAAAAAAACAAAAAAAAAATACAGGCGAATTGAGAACCTCCTCCTTTTTGAAGTCGGTTGAAAATATTTTAAAAAATCCAAAAGCTGCATGATTCGTACTGGTAAGGTAAGGGGTAAGCATTACGTGTTGATAATATTATCCCTATCTCCTCGGACGAGACATATGTACATACATTTTATGTATACTCTATATGTGTAATATTTTAACAAGTTTACCTGAATCCCGAAGAGTCCCATAGCAACTAAACCGATCCAGCTGTGAAGAGAGTAGAAGTTATTGATGCCCTTTTTATTGTGGAAGTCGAGGACCGCAAGGAAGCCGATGACGATGCAAGGGAACGCCAACGCGTGAAATATAGCGTGAAGCAGTTTCACGTATATGCGTCTGAAGCACCGGCAGATACGGTAGAGAAGTACCGCTGAAATATGAAATTATGAAATTGGTATATTTTTCTATAAAACGATTCGAATGTATGAACTCTGTTCATTTAAATAGTGACCCGCCCTAGCTTCGTTAACTACCTATAACTCCATCTATTATCCAGATTTTATTCATTCTTAACATTTACTTGGCTACGGACATACTCGTATACTGTCGTAAAGTTTTCTGCACGTCTTTCTAAAATGTAATTCATTAATCTAAACTCTAAACCATTTCTCTTAGTCTGCGCGGCGCTTTTATGTAAGCCACTATTAAAGTAGTGTCTTTTACTACGTAATTACACATAAAGATAAACAACCAACTATCTTTTAATTATTTCTTCTTTAGAGTGTTCTATAGACATAAACTTTTCGGATACTTTTTTAATGATCTTAAAGGCGTAATTACGTGTATTATGAACATATAGAAATAGCGATATTACTTTATAATTATACTAGGAACATACTCTCGTCTCACTCGGGTGTCCCTAGGTTTTCCTTGTATCATAATGTTATATACAAATAGCGTCATCTTTTGGCAAATTTTATTACTAATAGTAGTGTAAACGTTACTCCCGGTAATTGTATACTAAATTTCATTCAAAACACGATTGTTTCAAAACATGATGTCTATAATATTTTAGTTCTTTCATAAACATCTAGTGACTTATCTAATAAATACTTTATGAAAATGGTACTCACAGAATCCACTAAACGTGATAAAGCCGGCAACCATAAGCGTTGGATGAAGGTTGAACTGCTTCTCGGGGAGGTCATCGGCCCAGCCATAGCCCTCTCTATAGAAGAAGGTCCAAAAGATAGTGAGAGCCGACACTCCAATCAAGAGAATTGTAGCGAGCGTGATGATTAAGGCATATTCACACCATTCACAAGCACCCCGCTCGTGTTCGTCCGACTCGTACGAACGGCTCCGTTGTCTGAAATAAAAATTACATTTAGTTAGGATATTATAGTCAAATATTTAATTAAGAGTTATTTTGAGTTGCTGTTTTTTTTAATTTCTATTAGGCATTTTATGTTTCTCATTCTCATCATGATTCGTTCTCATCATACCGCTATTATTCGATTTAAAAAAAAGAATGATTAGATGATGATGATTTAGATGTTATCTGTACAATGTACATACAAGTATGTATAATAAAATTCTGACTAGAATCTGTACATTAAATATTTTTGGAAAATCTTATTGAACTAGTCATTATTATCAATACAGAGGCTGAATCTATAGTTTTTTGAATTTTTGTTTGTCTGTATGTCTGTCTGTCAGTGAAAGCATCACGAGAAAACCACTGGATAGATTTTGATGAAATTTGGTTTGATGATAGCTTGTTATTCGGGTCAACATACAGCATACTTTTTACTGCGGGAAAATATTTCATCTCTGATGATCTGTCTGGGACGAACCCGAGCGGAGCAAGGGTAAGTTGGTATGTACTTATTATATATAATTGAATTAACTAAGCGTCAGAGTTGTACATTAAATATTTTTCGACAGTCTCTAGAAAATATTTGGTGTTTACTAATAGAAGTTGTCCATAATGAATGGCCAGTTCATGGACTTTTGTGTGTTAGTTGTTGTTATTTTTAATTTCCAGTAAAGAATTCTATTGATTACGTATTCCGAATGAATTTATAATACAATTTTCTTTTTAAAGATAATGTATCTAAACCCAAACATTTAGCGTGCACTTCCCTCTCTGCGCGTTTTTAACGCTAACTTAGTAGAAATATATACATACGTTGGTCGTTGGTAAGTCGCAATTGTTCTAAATGAAGTTTTCGACAATATCCATTTAACTATATTTTTATTTCTTTATCCAAAAATTCGATCTGTATAACTCCACAATCTAAATAAACGTACACGTCTTAGAGATGAATAGAGTTTGTACGTTAACCTCGAGGCAGTCCGGAAAACCGTTTGAATGGAAACAACCGAGGACATAAAGCGAAGCTTGAAAGGTAACCACAATGCTATTGATACATACGTAACTTAACAAGAGCTTAAAGCACTTGTAACCACCACTCCGTGCCTCCTCGATTTCTTTTCTAAAATCGTAAAGAAATATCTCTTTACAAGTAGATACTTTAGTAGTTTTAAATTCTATTTTATCATTAACCTATATCGTTATATTGCTGGTATTGTTGGTTAAGTTAAAAATTCCTAAAGTATCACTGAGTAACTTTTCAATACGTTTTCATATCTAACATTAAAAAGTTAGTACTGGTAGGTGTCCTTAATGTCGCTCGTAAGGGCCAAAGGTGTCAAGTAACGCGAGATCGCTCCGCCACCGGATGCTGAGACCTCATCTGCCGGTGTAAAGTTTTATGTGTACGATAACTTAATGTTTAAATTTATAAGGTTTCAATTTATAAGGTCTCAACTTTTTCAAACATTACTTATGTAGATGCTCATTTAGATTTGAAGAATATTTTTCATCAAGTCGCAAGTAAAATATAGTATATATAATATATATTTATATTAATTCGTACTTATTTTTAGATACAAAATCTTACAAAATATTTGAATTTATGAAGATGTCTAGAAACAAAAACGATTAATATTTGATAATTTGTTATAATGATTAATAGATATATAATAAGATATTACTTACCTGTATATGTACATTCATTTAGAATTTAGACTCATTTAGCTCGCGTGTCCTATTATTTAGGCACAAGTAGATATTGTAATCATTAGAAATCGTGACCTCCATGTTAGTGAATGAACATTTTATTAGGCTTTAAATAACAATAAAGGACGTATGCCTCGATGACAATGGCCTAAATTCATTGACTTAATAATAACTGGACCAAAATCACAATATTGTTCAAGCGGACGTGTTATGGAAATAGTATATGTTTATAGAATAGTATATGTTTATGTTTATAGCATCTTGATTTTTTGGCTTTATTCAAATTTTTCCTCTATTTAAAAGTAAAGAGTAAAGACATAATAAAATACTTATATAGTATTATATTAAAATAAATTAATAAGTTCTCTCTACATACGTATATGAGTAAAATTAAAATGTATCATAACAATTATTTTAGAAGTCAATAGATAATATTGTAATATTCACCTTCTAGTTAAGTTTGTTTATATAATTACTAGCGACTCACCCTCGCTCCGCTCGGGTTCGTCCCTGGGGTGGGGTCTGGGAGGACCACCCTTATCCTTATCACTTAGGGGTATGGAAAATAGATAGTAGCCGATTCTCAGACCTACTGAATACGCATATAAAATTTGGTAAAAATCGGTAAAGCCGTTTCGGAGGAGTACGGTAACTAACATTGTGACATGGAAATTTTATATATAAGATTATATGTTTATATTTAAATGTTGTGTACAGATATAATTGGACAACAAATTTAAAATGATATTTTTAATTTTTAATACGTAGATGTAATTTTTTTAATTTGTTTTTGGTTTCCGTACCTAAATAAATAAAATAAAATAAATTCAATTTCCGCTTTGTCTTTTGAATACTGATTTTGTTTAGTACTGAGTTTGTTAATATCTCTTGGATTGTTCAGGAACGATAATGGTTACTGCGGTGAATTTGACGCGGTCCAACAAGTATATAAATCTCGTGATAGGTCAATAGTGAAAGTAAACAGATGGCATAATATAGCTTTGGACTAATAATTATTTCTTTAACAGGTATACCCATATATCTTCAAATATCTTACACTAAGAAAAACTATTAAATACTTTTTAATCCTCCCATTTCTTTTAGAAAGTGATGTAAATCTTATGAAGCATTAGCTGCGTATTTCTTCAAATTACATTTTTCTTGTATAATTTATGAAGTTACATAAGAATTATCATTTTTTTAACATTTAAATGAGCTAGGAGCATTTACACTTCAATTACAAGACATCAGCTTAATGAGCTTGTAAAATCCATAACAGCAGACTAAATATAGAGTAAACACAAAGTAGAATCAATTATTAACTCAATTATACCACTAACTAAGCTTAACGTCTAGTTTTCATCTATATATATAAAAGAAAGTCGTGTTAGTTACTTCGCTTATAACTCAAGAACGGCTGAACCGATTTAGCTGAAAATTGGCAGGGAGGTAGTTTAGAGCCAGGAGAAGGACATAGGATACTTTTTATCCCGTTCGACCGCGTTCCAATTTTTATGATATTTTAATTTTTGGATTTCTCTTAGTCCGGAATAGGTAAGTATTAAAACATATAATTAAAATGTGAGAAAGAAAGATTTTTTCTTTTTATATCTATTTAAAACGTACCTAGCGACGAACCCGAGCGAAGCGAGGGTGAGCCGCTAGTATAATTATATACGTTTTGAGGCCGTTTAATGACTAATTCCGGTATTAATGCTGTACGATCAACTTTTATTTCCTTTGTCGATAAATATGTTGTTATTTGCTTGATTTATATTTGGAACTAGCGACTTATGCTCGCTCCGCTCGGATGCGTTACTAAGTTTTAATTTTTTGAGCGGAATTCTTAATTCTTTTTTTAAACAAAACTAAACTAAGTTCCTCATTATAACAGCAGCTATTAGCCAGTGAAAGTCCCGTAAAAATAATTCAGCCGTTTCGGAGATTAGTCGGAACAAACAAACTGAGACAGACAAAAATATAACAATTGTGTTTTTCTTATATGAGCCATACATAATTTCATAATCATTTAGTAAAAAGCTTTTATTTCGACATTACAAGCAAACACTTCAAATTTAATTAATTTGTATAAATAATTTATAATTTTATATTTGTTTTTATTATAACTTGTAAAGTAAATGATTACATTTTTTGCTAAAATTCATACATTCACAAATTTAAGCACATGTCTATGTTATTAACAACAACAACACAATGGAGAGTCATTACTTTCTCTGTCTAATAACTAAAATTCCCACACTATCATCATTATATGGAATAAAATTTCAAAAATATTCGATTCATTACTGAAAGATGTACTTAGTTCCTTAGTAGAAATGTTAACTGAGATTTTCTCGTGTACAAAAAAGCGGCGAAACTAGTTGTATCATCTAGCTGTTCTACTTAAACGGTTGCATTGAAGAGAGGAGAAATGTGGCGTAGGGTCTTGAGGGAAAGGGAGCGGGGAGGGACGGTCAACGAACTCTGCGGCCATGGTACTCCTGGCCTACATGAGATATTCCTCACTATAGATAAATAATAGAAATGATATTGCTTCTGTACACCTATTGATTTACGACGTATAAAGAAAATAAATGATAAAATGATACCAAAACTAAAATACATTAATTTTTTTTCTGATATTTTTAACAGGCTTACAGTTAAACTTTAACTTTTTTAAAGTTTTCTTAATAATATATTCTATTAATTCTTAAGTAGATTGCTAAACAAATACGAAAACGGTTCAAAGGCATTTGTAGAATTGCATAACAAATCTTTAGAAGAACCGTTAAATTAACCACATACACTCGAAAACTTCTCAGAACTATCTTTGTCTCACGAGCTCCCGCCGTAATGACCACACGAAATGAACAAGTCTCTAGATGTACTTATTCTTAAAACTAAACCAACTCTAAATACGCTGTAATAAGAATGATTTTCCCGTGACTTCCACTTTCAGTAAAAATGACTTTTAAAACAGCTGTAGTTATTCGAAACATCTACATATCTACTAAAATGCAATGAGATATTTTACGATTTTTTAAATTTGAATTGAAAAATAACAGAATTCTTACTTCTAGAACCTTATTGATCGTCATTTGATTTATATTTTCAAAGAGCCTTTTTTTTAAATATTATTTTATATGTTATAGTGTAATTTTGTCTTGATAATAGTATTATATTTATTATTTACTATACATTAGATATACTCCATCCAACAACCAAACCAAGGAGAACTCGAAACTATTAATGAGCTGACCACATATGACATAATCTCTTCGAAGAGATTAGTTATCCGAATGCTGGCAATATACGACATTTAGTTATTTGGTTACAACATAATCCACGTTACAAAAATTATCGAAAGCTCGAAATTGTTGAAAACTTCTTATACAACATCTTTAAATAACGTAATTCGAAGCTGTTACGAAAAAAAAACAGCTTTAAATGTAAATTTAGTTAAATTTAGATATTGCAATTTAAGTATTACACAGCAAAAGTTCCCTTGATTGAATTAGATAGCGTTTAATTGTCGCAAGACGGACATCTGCTCGCTCTGTGCACTGACATGGGTCAGAGAGATTAAACATTACTGAAAAGGAAGACTCGATTATAACCTCGATTACATTCCATTTTATTCTATTGTAAGCACTAGTATGTAGTAGTGTAGCCCAATGGTGGCTCGAATCCTTAGAAAACGAGTTCGGATTTCAGGGCAAATATTCATTAATCCTATTAAAATTTAGACTGCCATAAGGTCTAAAATAGTTTTTACTTTTATTATAATTATACTGCTAAAATTTAGTATCTACCTAAAACAGAAAGGTGAATAAATAGATGGAGATGACATAATCGGCCACTGGAATATATAAAACTTTAAAAATTTACTGTACATATCACAATCATTTTTGACAATCCTACGTGGTTTTAATTAATTTTATTTGTCAATAAGCGTTTAAGGCATCGTATTGTCAATTTATTAACATACAAGTTTTATCCCTAAAAGGCTAGTTACGTGCGTTTGATTAAAATCATACACCTACGTTCCGTTACACGTACTTTACGTTTCCATCATGTAAACTAATATGCATGAGATAATCTATTAAACAACAGCGTAACTTAGAAGACGTTTACCTCGAACACTTTACTACAATGCATCTCTTGAGATTGTTAGGCATTAGGCAATGCTACCATATGAAAATAGTTTTATAAAGTTTATGCTTTCATAACTTATTAGTATATTATAAGCGATTTATCTTAGTTTATAAGCGACAAAAAAATTTTTTTTTGCTGCTTAAAGTTTTTTTTTCTGAACTACAAGTAGTATTTTATTACAGAACAATATTAAAAAGATTTTGAATGTGCATTCATATTTTAAAAAGCTTACATTAAAATACAAGAAATCAGTCCTAGTTGTCTCAAACAACGCCTACGGATCATTATTTTAGACAACGTTGCAATATCAATTTAACTGTTAATGTTTTTTTTATAATTATTATAAACAATAATAAAAAAGAATGGTAAGTTTGTTTTCTTATAGAAACGTACGTACATACATACTGCACATTCAAGGAATATAAATCCTTAATCTACACTAATTATAAAAATTAAGAGGTTGAGTCTGTTAGTTGGATGTAGGGGTTAATCTCTGAAACTACAGATCCGATACTGAAAATTCTTTCACTCATAGCAAGCTACATTACCGCCGAGGACTATGGCTTTTATTTTTCCGATAAAAATGTGTTCACTATCAAAAATCATAAAAGCTTTAATTGAAATCAAAAAAAACCGTTGAGTTGATTTATCGTCGTGAACTTCCTAAACGATTTGAAATAAGCTATTTAAAAAATTTATGGTAAAAGATAGAATAGACAAAAACGTATGGTAATTTATAAAAAATAAGATTTCACCCTCGGTTTTACGCCCGTAATTTATTTATGTATAATTACTCATTCCCGCTTCTACGGCTTACAGCATGAAGTTAAATAATTTT